TACCAACTCACAAAATTAACGGAATGCATAGCTGGTATAAAAATTGGATGACTAGTAATTTCCTACTACTAAATTCTGAAAAAAAAAAACAGAGACAAAAAACTTCCACACATAACAGCCTAGAATACTGTCTAACACTCGATGGCTGCTCTGTTACGTCTTTGTCCTCGGTTAAGAACCTGGGTGTGCTCTTTGATACCAATCTCTCATTTGAAAGTCATGTGTCTAGTATCTGTAGAACCGCATTTTCCATCTTAAAAATATATCTATATTACACCATATGCTCTCATTGACAAATGCAGAACAATTAGTTCATGCGTTCATGACATCAAGGCTAGATTACTGTAATGCTGTACTGCAGTGGTTCTTAACTCCAGTCCTCGGGACCCACTGCTCTGCATATTTTGTATGTCTCTCTTATCTGACACACTCAGTTCAGTTCATAGAGTCTATCCTAATGAGCTGAGGATCTGAATCAGGTGTGTTAAATACGGGAGACATACACAATATGCAGAGCAGTGGGTCCCGAGGACTGGAGTTGAGAACCCCTGCTCTACTGGGTGGTTGCCCTGCTCGCTTAATAAACAAACTCCAGCTAGTCCAAAACGCAGCCGCTCCAGTTCTTACCAGAACCAGGAAGACCATATTAGCCCGGTTCTGTCAACCCTGCATTGGCTGCCTATTAAACATCGAATACATTTTAAAATATTGCTGATTACTTACAAAGCACTAAATGGTTTATCTCCAGTACTTGAGCGAGCTCTTAACGCATTATAGTCCTTCATGTCTATTGGGATCTCAAAACTCCGGCCAGTTGATAATACCTAGAATATCGAACTCGACTGCAGGCGGGAGATCCTTTTCCTATCTAGCACCAAAACTCTGAAACAATCTTCCTAACATTGTCCGGGAAGCAGACACACTCTGTCAGTTCAAATCTACACTAAAAACACATGTATTTGCCCTAGCATACCCATAACACACTATAGACTTCCTAAACTCAAATTAGGCTGCATAGTAAATCCTGATGTACTTGGTACATCATAAGAAGGATGGCGTCTACGCTAATATCAATCTCTCTGTTTATCCCGAGGGACCCTCTATGGTGGACCTGCGCCTGGACCCATCCCGACTCATCCTCCAGTGCCGGCCTCATCGACACGACAGCCATCAGCACTGATCCTCAACATCTCGTCTCCAAACCGCCGTGATTACTAGAGATGCACGGATGGACTATTATTTCATCCGCAACCGCATCACAAAACTCATAATCCATCCGCCATTTATTCGCACCAACGTTTTGACCAATTTTCAAAACCGGACCCGCCCGCCTTCCGCTGATTGGGCGATACAAGGCGCTGCTGATGACAGCCGCGAGACTAGAAAGCTCTCAGAATATCAGCAGTGAACTCCGTCTCCGATCGGCATGCAGGGACAAAAATAAATAAATTAAAGCACTTCGGCAAACCTGACTGTGGCGAGGGGGCGTGAGTTGGCGAAGTCTGTAGCGGGAGAGAAAGGACGGAGCTGCGCGGTGAGTAAGTAGATCAAGTGCAGATGATGAACACCTGTGTCGGTGGAGAGACCGATGGCAATGAGAGAGAGAGAGAGAGAGAGAGAGAGAGAGAGTTGGACGGGGACTTCGCACACGGCTACTGCAGCCGAGACTGAGAAGCAAGTGTTGGATCGCGTGTTTTGTTTATGGTGGCGAATGCGCTACTGTGCGCCTCGTTTCTTTTTGTTTTTCTGAATAAACGCGAGTCCCAGTCATGCGACCCAGTCTTCTTCCTTCCACACACACTGAACCTCTTCACACTGACCTTATCTGATAGGCTATACTGTACAATATTTTCATTGTAGCCTAATAGAAAACGCATTTTGGCACATAATTTGGTTCAACCGCCCGCCCGAATTTAATTAAAATATTTTTTGTCATCCGCCTGATCCGCAGTTTGTCCGCTGCTGTAACCGCCAACCGCGCATCTCCAGTGATTACTTCGACTTCCAAACAGATGGAAATGGACAAATTCTCTTAATGTTTTGATCCAATTTGTTTTGTAATCACTGTTCCTCCGTTGGCCAGAGGAGAACTGACCCCGACTGAGCCTGGGTTCTCCCGAGGTGTTTTTCTCCATTCAGTCCCTAATGGAGTTTGGGTTCCTTGCCACTGTTGCCTTGGCTTTTGGCTTGCTTAGTTGGGGACATTTAATATTCAACAATATTATTGAACTGTATTATACTATTTTCATGTTATCACCGTGAAGCTGCTTTGATACAATCTGTATTGTAAAATGCGCTATATAAATAAACAGATTTAGCCAAAGAAATAGTACAAAACAACATTAGAGACATTTGATGTAATGTAATTATGAGAAGTTTCAAATTATTTTCGGCTCATTATGAGTCTAGATAATCAATAGGAAGCTGGAGTTTCCGCATGACTTTATTTCAGAACATAATAGAAGAGCGTTGGGAAGCCATTGACAGACCCCGAGACATTTCCCCAAATACCATTCGTTTTAAAGATGAAGAAAAGTCACAGATTTGAACACATGAGGGTGAGTAAATGATGACATGTTTACTGGGGACAACAACATCATTATTCTGCCTGCATCGACACCATTATATGAACTGAGCTGGTGATGACGTCGCGGTTTTCTCCAGAGCGGCTGTAAAGATGAATGAACTGAATTAATAACTAATGTTTTTTCCAACAGAAATGAACCATCACTGAACTCAAGCTGGACTACGACACTATTCTCTTCTAGAGATGCTTGTACAGCGGAAACAAACTTTGCTGCATTATTATCCCGTTATCACTGTAAAGCTTGAATTATCACTGGCTGTCGCTCGAGACGCTCAAAGCCTTCAGGGCTTGAGATGGAGGAAAAGATCATTTAAAAAAGAGCGATTCATTCACAAAACATCCAATGATGTGGAAGACGGTACAGGCCAGTTCGTCCTGGTGTCATGTTTAGCCGATGAAGCGTCCGCTTGTCCATCATGTCCTCTTGAGCTCAGACGAGCACTGATTTCCACTGTTATAGTATCGCGTCTTTTCTACAACTGTCTGACTGTGTTTGAAGACTGTCACCAAGTTCACGAGTTATCATCACGGCGCATGTATTGGCCTCAGAATCTGTTCTCGGAGAGATTTAAATAAAGATCAGCACAGCCGAACCGGCTCTGGAGGGCCTGTATCTGTGCATGTTGACAGCGACAGCAGAGCCGCTCGAACAGGAAGTGTTGCGTGTACATGTGTTGTAGGGATCATCAGGTCGGAGGTTTACAGCGAGGTCCCAAAGGATGGTTTTTGTGGTGCCTTTTATTTTTGGTGTAAAGTTTTTTGTATTTTGTAAAATTTGTATTTGGTTACTGGAGCCTGCAAATGATGCCATTAAACCTTTTTAAATATCATCTGTATGTTGTTTACACATTAATTTGAAAATTCAATGATGAAAACATGTTTGATTGATTATATTTAATACCAGACCCTGGTTATCCTGTTTGCTTACTGTTATTAACACAGACTTTAGATGTCCAAAGACCGCTCATGGGCTGCCAAGGTGCACTCATATTACTCATGGACGAGTCCCACCTTTAAATAAAAGAGTCTGTCTCTGATTGGTGGTCATCCCATCACTGAGAAACAGAGAAGGCAGTTCCTTGTCAAAGTTGAACTTGGACATCGGGTCTTGGATTGACGAAGACCATCAGCGTGACGATTAGCTTTGTTCTTGCTTTACTCTCCCCTGAGGGATGAGAATTGCTTCATAGTGTGCACTACACAGTGCGCGATTAGTTGAGAACGATTAAAGCTCTGCTGTCGGTGGGAAGGGAGGGAGGACGGTGGTGCAGGCCAGGACTTCCCTTGTGCTATACAGATAGAAGACTCTCTGTTCTTCTACTACTGGAGGATTTTGGCGTAGTCGGCGTGTCCACCAAAGATAAAACACAAAGTATGTGTGTATGTCAGAGCGAAACAAAGCAAAATGTAGATCTACATCTGGGGAGCGATATTTTTTTCCTAGGATGGTAGGGGAAGACTCAAAAATGCCATTAACCCCAGTGACGGGTAGGGTTAGGGACGGGGTTGAGGTAAGACATATATTTATACAGTAATGTAATGTTAAGTCAACGGCGTTCATAAACACGCTGAAAAGCGATTATGCGTGTTGATAGCACGCCAAAAATGGATATAAGAATTGGCGAAGAACATACGCCATTTCACGAGATCAGTCTGTCCATTGAAAACAACTGGAAAAATACACTTAAATACTAAATCCGCTTCTCCTTCAGGAGGGGCACCACTATACAGCCAATACTCTGTACAGTGAATTCATGCTCTGCTCATTATGTTTGTGCATATTCACAGATTAATGAGGCTCAGCGTGGCGGTGTGGGTTTTGGTGGCATCAACTCCATGACGCATGAATATCTCCAGTTACGACTGTAACCCTGGTTCTCTGAGAAAGGATGTGCCTCCATCAGTCAAACGAGTTGACGACATGTTTTACAGGCGCTCTATTATATATATATATATATAGGCGCTCGGATAGTGAAGTCATGGACTGGTGTGTTTGTCACACTTGCTTCAGACACCGGTCACGCTGATGGCATTCCCATAGTGTCCATCCAAGACCTCCGAGAACCAGGGTTACAATAGTCGTACCCGTTTCTTCCGTTCATGAGTGATATGAGTGCTCCGTCTCTGTTTAGTGTTTTAGAAGCTCAGAAAGTGTTGATTGTACATGCGCATTGGCTTGTCTGGCCTGAGAAATAAGCTTTTTACTGCTATTTGAGCATAAGAAACCACATTTTTGGGACAATGTCAGAGTTCATTGCTGATTGTGAAATATGTTATTGGATTGTGAGGTTTGGCAAGCAGTTTCTGAGATTTCAGGATGCCCGAAACAGCTTCACGGTGACAATATGGCCGCCAAGCGAACAGACTTTCCTTGGAAGGAAGTTTGGTGATTGAATCGTTTTTGTTTTAATCGATAGCCAGCATAGGGGAACTCCATACACTCGTTTCAGAGCGTGTTTTGTGTGTGTGTTCATGCATCAGGCTCCAGGTACTTTGGGCTTGTGTTGAACAGGGAGAATCTCCTGAAAGTTCAAAGGTCACTCTTCTGATAAACGTCCCGAAGGAATGGCAGCGTTTCCAGTGGATGAGCATGAAGACAGAGCTGAAACACAACAGGCTCACGACACTCACCGTGTGGACTCATGACAGACTCTGAGTGCCAGCTCTTTTAGACTTCCTGTTTCCCTGTAACACTTCCACATCTGCGGAACACAAGCAAGGTACACTTCAACTGGGCGTTACACAACAACATATGATGAAGACACACAACATGATAAACAGTGGAGTCTCTAGAGTCCTCGTCCATCCGTGACTCCCTCGAGGACACGTGCGTGATGCGTACGACACAGATCACATGATCAACACAAGACGTGCTCTGGGAAACACTCATTCTGATCGCAGCCTTCAGAATGGAGCGCCGGGATAAAGCCATGCACACAAACATCACAAACAAACGTCCCGTGAACACTCGGCAGGAGCGTGTCATTTAAATAATCAGACATGAATGAATGCAGCAGTTCCTCAAGGAGCATCATGGGACTTGTTCTACAAGCCTCGTTTTCATAAATATGGAAGTAGATCAGCCCGAACACACCCGACAGCAGGCGAACGTGACACGGGTTAATGCTCTCACACAGATGCGGTTCAGGTCAAACCCTCGGATGTGTGTCCAGCAGAGGTCAGTATAAGGACACGGGACAGGAAGGCATGCAGGATCCGGACTCATGCGGAGCGTCACACACAGCCGTACTCGTACCACAGCGACTCCTCCGCCGGCACACACACATCGGGCTCGCCGTCAGCGGGGGGGGCTTTAGGGGGAGGGCCGCTAATGTTGCTAACGAGGGCCGTGTTGAGCGACAGGATGGCCTGGTTTCTAGCGCCGCCCGTCACCGCCGGCTCCCCAAACACTGAGTCCAGAAACATGGAGTCTACGGTGAAGGAGGGACCTAGAAAGGCCTGCAGGCTCAGCTCGGACTCCGCTACGCTGCAGGGCATGCTAGCTGACGTGGGCAGGGCGCGGGGGCCGTACTCACTGGAGCTCTGGGTCCGGGCGGGACACGGGTCCACCAGAACGGGCTGCCGGCTGTCCTTGGAGAGCAGGTCGTGGATGCTGGTCCTGCGCACGGTTCCCTCGGCGGTGGAGATGACGCTGCTGGCGCGGGGCAGACCCGAGGAGCTCGAGTCCAGGCGCTCCGACACCGACACCGCTCTGCTCTGGGACGCCAGGCCGGCTCGGGGCGGCGCCGAACCCTTGGCCCGTGTGCTCTCCGCCTTACGCAGGCTGGGCCGGCCCGGGGGACCGGAGTCTGGTGCCGCCGCCCTGCCGCTGGCTGAACGCAGGATCCCCCGGCCCTTCACGCGCTCTCTGGCTCCCGACACACGGCCCGGCGGAGCCGACAGAGACTCCTGCGCAGGGGAGAGGGACACCAATCATTATTTGTATTCAGCAAGGATGCCTTAAATTCATCAAAAGTGACAGTTGTGGTTATAATTGTAAACTATATTAGCGTCCACACCATATATTGAGCTCGTTAAAACAGGATGGATTCTGATTGGCTGTCAATGCTTCTGTCGTCTTGTTATCATTGTAGTTGTGCTGTGGACTCTTTTTCTTTTACATTTATAATGATTTTTTAACCCATATCTTTGTTGTTATCGTTATGGTGATGGCGCAGTGGATACGACACATGCCTTTGGTGTGAGAGACCTGGGTTTTGAATCCACTGTGAGACACCAATGTGACCCTGAGCAAGACACTTGACCCCTAGTTGCTCCAGAGGCGTGCGACCTCTGACATATATAGCGATTGTAAGTTGCTTTGGATAAAAGCGTCAGCTAAATGAATGAATGTAAATGTAATTATTGTCCTTTGGTTTGAAAGAGCTAAAAAACATTACAATGTTACTAAAGATTCTATTTCAAATAATACATTCTTTCTGTTCATCAAAAATCCTCAGTTTTCACAGAAATATGACTGTTTTCAACACTGATAATAATCATAACTGTGTCTTGAGCATCAGATCCTCATATTAGAGTGATTCTGAAGGGTCATGTGACACTGAAGACTGGAGTAATGATCACAGGAATAAATGACACTTTACTGTATATTCACATAGAGAACAGATGATTTACACTGGAATAATATTACACTGCTTTACTGTATTTCTGATCAAATAAATGCAGCTTTGGTGAGCAGAAGAGACTCCAAACCTGTGACCGGTAGTGTGTGTGTGTGTGTGTGTGTGTTTGTGTGTTTTCAAGCTGCTCTATTAATGTGGCATCACTGATTTTAGTTAAAGTGGAAAAACAAACCAGACCGTGGCGGGTTGGTCTACATGCCCGTCTCTTCCTGTGTGAGTGTGTGTTTCTACTGTCTGAGTGTGTGAGACTAGTGTCTGTAAGTGTGTGTGTGTGATGCGTCACCTCTGCCGGGTCTGTGCTCTCGGTCAGGAACTGCTGCAGGGAAACCCTCTCGGGCTGAACACTGTGTGAGCCGTCCTGTGTGCTGAGCTGCGATGATGTCATCCTCACAGGACTGTCCAAACACACACTGACGTCTCCACTGCTCTCGCTGTGAGCTGCGCTCGCACTGCCGTTCATCACGCCTGACACACACACACACACTGATAACCTTACACACACACTCGCTACAAGCTGCTAACAAGATACTATTATAGTTATTACAATTAAGTGTATAATAACTAAGCAATTAAAATAAATATATTCAATAATATTATACAGTTATGATAAATCACATCCATGTTACAGGTAAAACCAGAAAACACATCAAAACCACACCATAGTGATGAACGGGGATTTAACTCCATATTTATTCATTAAATAGACACCGGACATGAAGATTGACTGACTGAGATCCAGAGCATTAGTCGATCACGGCACCAAATCGTGCTGAAATGTTAAAATTGTGACGCACTGTAGCCAATCACAGACGTATCTGATGATCATGTGAGCACAATGGCCAATTCCGCTCAACAGCGTTCAAAGTTTCAGTCCCGACTTCTTACAAAAGGGGGAACTTTTTGACAACTCTAGAGACTAGATTGGAAATTGTCACTGCACAGTGTTTGTGTTTTGTTGTCAGCATTTTAGTTTTTTCCAGAGCTTCTTTATAGTATAATGAACTAATTTACTAACTGATGATCTTTACAGCAGAACTGAATCCACACTGAACTGACCTCAGATGAGCACCAGTTTCCTGTTTATCACTGGGAAGCTGCTGTAGAAATAAAGCCGACTCGACTTGAGTCCTAATAACTAAAGCCGGGATCATAATGACATCGAGATCTCTGTAAAGGTCACATTAGAGAGGAGTGTAAACGCATGAAGCTCACACACACACTCACCCTGAGCTCGCAGCACACTCGACTCCTCCGAGGACACCTGAGTGATGTCATCACTGGACATGGCGTTACCTGCGGACAACAGAACGGCACAGTGATGTCATCAGAGCGACTCAACCACCTGACCTGCACTAATACACCCTAACCCTAACCCAGGGGCGGTGGAGGAAGAGCTATGGTCACATTACTGGAAAAACATCAGTTCCATAAAATGATAAACACATTTTAGACATTATTTTTAAGAAAAGGCTAAATGATTATATTTAAATTCATTAATATATATATATATAATCTTATGTTTTAGAGTTTTAAATGCACATTAGCTTCATTTTGATTCACTGACTGAATGAAAATGTAATTTCACTCTCTGACAGTAGATAGAACAACAGAAATATAGCGGTTTTACCGTACGAAACACAGCTGTGCTTTTTACAGATGTGACGAGTTTGCAGGTCTGATATAAACACCATGAAGTTAACAGTGTCATTATTCATCAACAGCAGATCGTTTGGCATAAATGGACGCTACTCATTGATTGGGAGTCTGTGATGAACTCTTTCGCATTGACAGAAGTTTCCTGCCTTCCGTGATTTCACTGTTATACGGTAGGGGGCGCTGTGGTGAACTGTACCTGTATGGGTGCGGTGTGGAGCGGCGCGGATCAGGCTTAGGCTGGCGTAATCAGCACCAGCGCTGGAATAGACCATGGACCCGAACTCCTTCCCATCAGGAGCTTCCAGATGATCCGTGCTGCTGGACCACTGACCCTCGGACACAGCCATCGTCTGCAGCAGGTCGTTCATGGCTGACACACACACACACACACACACACACAGCATTAACTCGGTGAAGGACTGCCCGCATGCATGAAGTATCAGTATGAGTGACAGCGCAGGAAAGAAAGACATTGATGGAGTGACGAGGCAGTGAACACCACATCAGATGTAGAGAATAACACCCTAACCCTAACCCTAACTCCACAAGTGCTTATAATGCTAGTAAAGCAGCATGAGGTCTATTAGCACAGTCAGATCAGACTCATGAGTCTATATTATGTGTAGAGTGTTTATACTCTAATATATTAATAATGGAAGTCTAATAGGCAGTGTGACACTGAAACCGTGTGTTAGCAGTACACTAACTCTAATCTCCCACCAACATTAACTCTAATATCCATCAAATCACACCACAAGACAATGAGCTCTGCATGTGTGTGAATATCTGATGATGATCAATGATGAGAGACGGCAGGAAGAGCAGAGCATGATGGGTGTGGACTATCGGATGTCTTACACATAGAGCGGCGGTAGACAGCCTTCACTCGGTCTTTCTCCTTGGATCGGTTCCTCATGAACGGGAGCTTTTTCAGCGCTGACACACGCAACGAGCGGGAGGAGAGAACAGACGTGTTAGCAAGACAGCAGGGTCACACTGATCACAGCTCAGGTCACAGGAACACACATGTAGTGAGCGAGCGGTGAGACGTATGCCACACTAGCCGCGTTTCCATTACAGATTTGTGCTAAACTTTTGATATTTTATAAACATCAATAACAAACGATTGGGAAATGACTGCGTTTCATGAGCCGATATTATGAAATAAAATCATTTATTCATTTTATCCAAAGCGTCTTACAATCGCTATATATGTCGGAGGTCGCACGCCTCTGGAGCAACTAGGGGTCAAGTGTCTTGCTCAGGGTCACATTGGTGTCTCACAGTGGATTCGACCCCGGGTCTCTCACACCAAAGGCATGTGTCTCATCCACTGCGGCATCATGGGAACGGATGTTGGTAGGTTTATGTATGTCAGCCACCGCACTAGCTGCTACTGGTGCTTACACTGGGAGCGGCACGTATGAGGTGTTTCTGGGTATTTTCCCTCATATCTGCTTCAAGCTCTGGATAAACTGTGGGATTTCTTTGTCGTTTAGATTCCAGTATTCCCGTAATTCCTGAACTTTAATAAAGAACTCCATCTCGCCTCCTGTCCAAACATACCGTGCCTTCTGTAAAGAATGAGAACTACTTTTCCGTATTTCAGGTGAGCTGTGAATGCCCACAAACTGTTTCCATTACAGTAATGAGAAATATCGCTTTTTCGAATTGCCTGAAAAACCAACTCAGTTTTGTGATGAGTTATGGGAGTTTTTGCAAAATTGACGTGTATTTTCAATTTGCTCAATTTGAGGGGTGATGGAAATGCGGCTACTAACGTGATGCCAACAGCACAACAGAGAATGAGCATTAAAGGGTGCAATGCCACACATCTCACGCACAGACCCGAGACGAGCGCTGCGTCACAGTCACACGGGCTGATTGAATTGCACCTTTTAATAGAGATGAACACAAATGCAGAGTGTTCATGGGCTGACTGACAGCGTACCGTTAGAGGAAGCCTGCGATTGGCTTTTCTCAGCTCTCTTCCCTTCACAAAGCAAGAAAAAACAAGAGAAAACGTCAAGCTGGAACTTCGCAATCCTACATCACACATGTTAACATACTCTAGCTGAGATTTAGCTGAACATTTGCATTTTATTAAAAAAGATTAGTAAACAATTTATTGCTCATATTTAGTTCATGTATCTATTAATACATTAACTAATGTTAACAAATGAGGCCTGATTGTAAAGCTTTATATCGTCATAAATAGCTTTGACTGAAAATATTAACAACAAACAAATGGATTCTTTTGGAAAACGATTTGGGGGCACATAAGTGACGACGGATCATTTCTTCATTTTAAACCTGCACTAACGCACTAGCAGCCAGACCAGAGTCGCACACACTCGTTCTCCTTAGGAAACTAGAAAGAATCAGAATCGGTCAGATGACTCAGTCACTCGGGGCTTTTCTCACTGCAGGTTTTCATCGCTCTAAACCACTTTAATCCTGGATAACGGAGCGATTTACAACTGTAATTTAGAAGCGCGGTTATCAACGCTTTTACCCAGGGTTATAAAGTCCTGCTCCGGAGCAGAGTTAGAGCCATTTATGCACTGTTAACCCCACATGATGGAGAACATAACAATTCGCCTTTGGCTAAGCCACGCCCTAGAATGTAGATTGACCAATCAGCCAAGAACGCGCCCCCACAGAGGTCGGACAGTTTCACACAGCGCTCAATTGACTTTCAACACAGGCGTCTCATGTTTTTGGTCTCGGCAGGCTATAGACCTTTTTCACAAAAACCGGAAATACGTAATCGTTGTGGAAACGGAGTTCCCGTCAACTGTTAACACATCAGAAAAACCTACTCTGGGAGGAGAAAATTGATCAGAGAGTCTTCAAAACTTCGAAAAATGTAAACTTGTCATGGTCCAGTTGTTGATGACTTTGTAAAATGCTGTGGTGATGCTTGTCTGCAGCTGATTTATCTAAGACCAAAGATATGATATTGATTTTAGAACTGAAGCTCATTCTTCCCAATATACGTTAATTAAAGGTAAGAAGGTGGAGTGTGTGGAAAGTTATTCATATGAGTATTATTTACAATAAACTACATTTTGATGTGAATACCAGAAAGAAGTCTGTCAGTTTTATTCAACAGTTATCCCGAATTTTTTGCACTGCTGTTGCTAGAACGATCAAAGATGAAGAAAAATTATACAAATATTAATTTATTCCTTGTACACTCAGATTGTTAAATACTCAGAATGGTATATATTAATATTTTAAATTTATATGTAGCCCACTGTTGTGTGTTCTTATTTATCTTGTTTTATATTGTGGTGTATATTTTATGTGCTTATTCCGCTGGATACAAATATCTTAATACAGTTGAACATGAACTAACGTTACTTCAAAAATACGCAAATCATAAAACATAAAAAATAAACAAACAATGACGGCTTATTAGTGAATGGTGACATGAGAAGTACAGAAGATCACAGGATCAATAACATCCCGCCAGATTGCCTGAATCCATTTCCGTCGAACTTCATCGACAGGGAACTGACGAGGGAAGGAATGAAAACGATAGGTATGGCTGCTTTTGGGAATAACAAAAAAGATCGGTACGCAACAACTCTCACTAGTTGCCTTCGGCGCTATCTGTTATGAATGGAGCGGAAGAAGTTTACCACGACAATTGCGTATTTCCGGTCACAAATACGGAAGTTGTGAGAAAGGTCTATTACCGTCGTAGTTTTATCCAAAATATGGTTAAAGGCTGTGTCTGGGGCATTTGTAACACAGATACGTGTTTCCCAGAGAGGTCGGAGGGGGGTGTCCGCTTTTTCCCTTCCCAAAACCAAAGTCAAATCCTGCCAAGTGTCGTGTTTGGATTAAACTGTGTGGACGTCCTCCGTCAGCTAAACCCCGCAAAGATCATCAAGCACATCTTGTTTACTTCTAACCTTACTGTGAAGTTATACTAGTTAGACCATTTTATAATGTTTTAGGTGATGATTTTGGTTCTCATACCGGTTGTTGATACGCTAGCACACGCTGCTAATAAACACAGCGTTATACTGGTGTAGTCCGTTTGCTTTGTAATAACGATTATAGAAGTGAATAGTGACCTACCCAGCTCTGCATGAACAGTGTTGCTCCTGGTATTGTCAGTCCCAGCCTCCGTCTCCATTAGCAGGAAATGCGGTGGTTCATGTTTTGACTGTGACCGCTAACGGTAACGTTATGCTTTTGCCTCTATTTCGGATGCCTTGTTGTTCTTGCGTTTCACCTGTATATGTCTTGAATATAGCCTTCGAACGCATATTATCAGCCCCTTTTGCCTACTTCTATCGGACCCTTTATTTGCTGCTTTATAAAGTTTCAGCAGGAAGAGCTGTTCAAGGTTATTATAGTTTTGCATTTTTCATTCTTTTTTATTTTTATTTCAGTTAACGACAATGTTTTTTCCCATCTAGTTTTCGTTAGTTTTCGTTAACGATTATAACCTTGGAGCTGTTGCAGCATAAGCCATGCAGAGCGCAGATGAAGTTTGACGGATGTAGCAACAGTAACTAAGGGGGGCGGGGCTTAGCAAAAGAAGAGGCAGTTTCATTCTTACCATTATAATCTGAAAAGTCCATTCAGGAAAAAGTTGATAGTTTAGACGGAAATATAATATGAGGATTTGTAAAGCGGTCGTGTGCTGCGTTTGTCAAATATGCAAATAAGGACAGGTTTATGAATACGCCAGACTACTTGTTAACCCTGGGTAAATTATAAGCAGTGTAAAACAATGAACTAGTCCAAATGAGAAAAGCCACTCTGAATCAATCAATCAGAGAGAAGTATCTCTGTAAACGATGTTCAAACTGTCAGCCTGTAGGAAGCGTGCGTATACTCACTGCCGCTGCGGTGTGCGAGCGAATCCTCCAGCGAGTTGGACCCGGAGCCCACGGATGAGCTGTCCTGGCTGTCCGGGTGGGGCAGGGTCAGGAACCCTTCGCTGGACTCCGAGCGGGACGGGGTCTGTGTGAGAGAACGCATGCGCTCACGACTCTTCGGCTTGATGAGCTTCCTCATCTTCAGTGCGATCCAGTTCCCTCTCCTGCACAAACCACAAGCAACCCTAATTATATGATATGTGTCCTGTAAATCAATCACTTCACCCAAAACCCCTGGGGTCACTTAAACACTCCTGAGCATTCAGGACACCCGGAGTTTCTCCAGGTTCTGAGACTCACAGTGTTTTCTGTTCTCCTCTGCAGAGAAAACGACACACAGGGATTTCTACTCTTCAACAAACCAATCCCAGTTTAATCAACTTAGTCAGGAACGCCTAATCTTGGGAGTAAGACCAGCCTGGAGAAACTTCACATGAATCTGAGACAGCATCCACAACGGTGTGCCTCCGAGAAGTCAATGCAATGGAAATGTTTTATAGAAAAAGAAAGATGACCAGTGCTGTGCAACTCACTGGTGTGTAGGTTGTCACTGTACACAACTTATAAAAATGCATGAGCATAAAACGGATTGGGGTCCTGGGGATGAACGTTTCCCTCCCGGTGAGGAGCCGTTCTAGACAGTGATGCGCTCCCAGATGATGCTTTTTATCTGAGGCACATCTGAACTCCTGACATCTGGGATGGTGAAAGTATTGCTGTGCCACACTGTGCATTAAGGGATCGTTCAGCAACAGACTGACCAGCGTTTTAAAAGCATCATAAGCCTGAGAAGATTGCAGAAATCATTGGCACCAACAGTCTTTATGAGCTACTTAAGCTCACGATGCCTTCAGGAAATGCAGTTAGTGAGGTAGACGAGTGAAGGAAAGAATACAGGAGCCCATGATCAGGCCTACCACTACATGCCATCAGCATATTCATCAGTTTCCATCCCCTGGGGAGAACCAGAGTTTCGGATGAGAGAGGATTTGTCTAACAATTAGGAAGTCCAGGACCCACGGGCAGATTAAGGACCTTAGTCCGGAGCTGGGAGACACTTTTGATGGAGATTACAGTCTTGAATGCTGACCTGTAACCAACTTACATCAAACTAAAATAGTTAATCCCTTCATGCGATTTAAGTGGGAAAGGGTGGGATGTAGTATTGGTGTTATACCATTGTCCATAGTTCTGCTTGGGTGGAAGGCAAACTGCAGTAGATCAAGTAAACTGGGGGTGTGGAGCAAAATACAGTCTTTCAAATGCGGATCAAAGCATTTCATAATGACAGAGTTGAGTACGAAGGGCAAGTGTTACCCGGGCTGCATGTTAATGATTTTAAAGCATGATGTCAAGCCATGGGTTCAGTTCTCATGAAATTCATGAACTGAGAAAGATTGAAAGCAACATTAACCGCTTTAGATAAACAAAACAGATAAATGCATAAATATAAATGGACAAATATAAATGTTTTTTTTAAGAATGAACTGTGCGAATTACCCTCTATAAGATGTGTTTCAAATGATTCACATGGTATGCTGATAATAGTGGGAAAACATTAGAGAATATCTGGATGAGAACAGATAAATGAAATTACCCATTAGGCTTCACTGTACCTTCCACTTCTGAGTTATTCAGGCACCTAATGGAAACCACTCTTGCACTCTGAATGGTAATACTTATACTCTCAGGAAACCAATAACACTGAGACTGGGCTTTTACGGGCCACACCCCGAGGTTCTCCTTGAGGATAGGGCTGCCAGCTCCTCCTGCATTGCCTGAGGTCTGGTACCGTGGAGAGGGGTATTCCTGACCACAACACGCTCTTCCCCACCTTTGCTTCGGTGTCTGCAGATCTTATAAGCGGTGTCTGCAGTCACACACAATAAAAGCCTGTGCAACACTCCCACATTGCCAAGATCTCAAAGAGAGATGTCATGAAAGATGACCTAAGGAGAACACCTCGAACCCGATGTAGTTGAATCGCTCAGAGGATCACACTGGTCTCTGATGCGCAGAAACTAGGCTTTATTCACCCCAACGGAAAGCAGAACAGCTCTGTCTGAAATTCCTCCTTCATTATGTGTCATTCACTAATTTTTAAAATATTTTTCGTCTCCCCAAATTTGTCACTATAATAGTAGTAATAATAAATAATTTAATAAGAAGGTTTATATTGACCTATTATATTTTATTTACATCTACCTTTCTTTCTTTGTAAAAGGCATACTGAATTCAAATTTAAGGATTTATTAGTTTGATTATACATTGAATCAAACACTATAAAAACAGCTTAGTTGATAATTCAATATACTTTATTTTAGACAAAACGTCCATTATTCAGTTGTGACGGCACATTTACAGTGTTGACAGTAATGTTTTGGTTGCGATCATATACATACAGAATTAACTCACAACTCAAACTTCATTTGAAAGCCATGTTTCTAGCATCTGTAAAACCGCATTCTTCCATTTTTAAAATACAAAGAGGAAAATAAGTATTTGAACACCCTGCTATTTTACAAGTTCTCCCTCTTAGAAATCATGGAGGGGTCTGAAATTATTAGGGCTGTGAATCTTTGGGTAGACAGCGAATCGATTCGATTCACGATTCATAGGTTTTCGATTCGATTCATGAACGATTTGTGCAAATTCAGAACGATTCGATTCGATGCGATTCGATTCGATTCTTAATTTTTTATATGCATTATTATTTCAATGCTTCACCCATCTTTGTCTGGGTTTGAATTAGCCTACAGCGGCCTTCGGGGATCAGATAGTGGGGATTTTGTCCATTGTTAATGTTAGTTCATGTTTATTTTTAATTTTAATGAATATATTATTATAAAAAAAATTCAATGGCCTACAAATTAGCATTTGCAAGTAGCAAATATTTTGAAAAAGGCTTTTAAAGTATTGCATTAAATGACTACATGCACAAATTAATGGAGACGTTTTCATTAGTTTCATTTTGCGTCCTCTCAGTGCACTCGTTATCATCTTTTCACTGGATTTTGTGAAAATCCTCGCGCTCGGTCCCATAGCTCTCATGCTTTCATAACGTTAACTACAGATTTTTGAACAGTCCATGTTTGAGCTCTCCAGCTGAGCTCTCTGCCGAGTGCGTGCAGCCGTGTGTGAACGCGCGATACGCGGTTTGGAGCACAACCTCTGTCTCGTATGCACGCTCGCTCTAGATTCCGGGAGATTTTAACTAATTTGCGGTAATACAAGCTGATCACGACATGAGTAGCTCAACAGGTAGAAAGATAAACTCATCTTTCAGGCATTTGACCGACCGAGCTTCAGCGTGAGAAATCAGGGGTGTGTGAGCGCCTGAAATCAATCAAATGCGGATGTCGTATGACGGCCAATGCGTGAGGCAGCTTGTACCAGGAACACTTTAAGGTTGTGTTTATATATTTTAAACCACTGAATCGCTATAAAATCGTGATTAATTCGATTCTTAGCCTTTTAAATCGATTATTCACGTAAATAAACGATTCACGATTCAAAATACATGTTTCAGGATCGATGCATATGCATCGCCAGGATTTATAATCGATGCATCGAGAAAACGAGTGAATCGTTACACCCCTAGAAATTATCATCGCAGGTGCATGTCCACTGTCAAAAAACAAAATCCAGAAATCACAATGTATGATTTTGTAGCTATTTATTTGTATGATACAGCTGCAAATAAGTATTTGAACACCTGTCTATCAGCTAGAAATCTGACCCTCAAAGACCTGTTAATCTGCCTTTATAATGTCCACCTCCACTCCATTTATTATCCTAAATTAGATGCACCTGACCTGTTAGAGGTCGTTAGCTGCATAAAGACACCTGTCCACCCCATACAATCAGCAAGAATCCAACTACTAACATGGCCAAGACCAAAGAGCTGTCCAAAGAGACACAACTGAAACGGCTACGGGGAAATTGCCAAACAGCTTGGGGGAAAAGGTCCACTGTTGGAGCAATCATTAGAAAATGGAAGAAGCTAAACATGACTGTCCATCTCCCTCGGACTGGGGCTCCATGCAAGATCTCGCCTCGTGGGGTCTCAATGATCCGAAGAAAGGACAGAAATCAGCCAGAACTACACAGGAGGAGCGGGTCAATGACCTGAGAAGAGCTGGACCACCGTTTCCACGGTTACTGTTGGTGATACACTAAGAGGTCATGGTTTGAAGTCATGCATGGCACGGAAGGTTCCCCTGCTCAAACCAGCACATGTCAAGGCCCGTCTTAAGTTTGCTAGTGACCATTTAGATGATCCAGAGGAGTCATGGGAGAAAGTCATGTGGTCAGATGAGACCAAAATAGAACTTTCTGGTCATAATTGTGTGTTTGGAAGAAGAATGATGAGTACCATCCGTACTGTGACTCATGGGGGTGTGCATCATGGGCAGGGCGACTGCACTGTATTAAGGAGAGGATGACCGGGGCCAGATTGTGGGCAACAACCTCCTTCCCTCAGTTCGAGCACTGAAGATGGGTCAAGGCTGGGTCTTCCAACAAGACAATGACCCGAATAACCGAGGAGTGGCTCTGTAAGAAGCAGATCAAGGTTCTGGCGTGGCCTAGCCAGTGTCCAGACCGAAACCCAATCGAGAATCTCTCAGCGACAGCCCAGAAACCTGACTGATGTAGAGGAGATCTGTGGAGGAGTGGGCCGAAACCCTCCTCAGTGTGTGCAAACCTGCTGAAGAACTACAGGAAACGCTTGACCTCTGTAACTGCAAACAAGGGCTACTGTACCAAATATTAACATTGATTTCCTCAGGTGTTCAAATACTTATTTGCAGCTGCATCATACAAATAAATAGGTTAAAAATCATACATTGTGATTTCTGGATTTTGACAGTGGACATGCACCTGCGATGATAATTTCAGACCCTCCATGATTTCTGAGTGGCAGAACTTGTAAAATAGCAGGTGTTCAAATACTTATTTTCCTCACTGTATATCTAAATCACGACATATACTTTCAATCAAAAATGCGGAACAGTTAGTTCAAGCGTTCATGACCTCAAGGCTAGATTATTATAACGCTCTACTGGGTGGTTGTCCTCAAACCCGTCTCCAGACCGGCGTGACCGATCTCCAACCAGAGGAACTGGATAATATTCTGAGATGGCAACGCTTACCTTCGAGGTGGTGATGGGTCATAAAACTTATATTGATCCATGATCTTCTCCTCTAGTTTCTCCTTCTGTCTCCTCAGCTCATTGAGTTTATCACTGTGTGAGAGAGACAGTAGCATCAGATATCTGCACACAAGAGCTGAAAGAGAAGTGAATATAAGTGTGTATAAATACATGTATTGTCTCTGCTCGACGTGGAACAGGTCTTTGCTCTCCATGGTCTGCTCCAGCAGGGTCCGGTTCTGCAGCATCAGGGTCTGGATCTGATCCAGTAAATGCCGGTTCTCTTCTTCTAGATTCCCCTTTAACTGGCTCAACAGCTGCAGGACACACACACACACACACACACACACACACACACACACACACACACACGTTACCCTCCACATGCCTTTGTTTGAAAACAACGTTTTAGTTCATAGAGTTGTACGTCGCCATGTTCATGGAGAACTTCACGTGTTGACATGAGGTTGTGCAGCATAGAGCCATTCACAACAGACAATAACAGATAACGAGCAAAACATGTGAAGTGGAAGACCAACCAGCAAGACATGAGTCAGACTCTTCTGCTCTATTTCAGTTCGCTTCTGTCTTCAGTCTGAACCATCGACATGTCTCTCAGAAACAGCCGGCCAATCAACGAGCAGAGGGCGGGCTGAGAGCCGTGACGGAGACGCTAAGCGCCGAGTTTCAGATTGTGTTTTAGGTTAGGGAATAGGTGTTACCGGTGTTCAGTCGCAACACCGCGGCACCGCCTTAAAAATATTGAACACAATTATGCAGTAGTCATTAAATTCTGCCTATTAACACACACACACAACCCACAGAAAAGACGCGTGTCGGTATGGAGTTCTCTTTCGGGCTTGAACAAACCAGAACACACAAATTATGCCAAAATGTCCATAAGAGCAGTCTTAAACGAACGTAGAGATTTGTGAGAAAATGGGACGCGTGTCAGATCGCGTCTCTGTCAGCAACGGTTGTCTGAATTCGCTCACTCGTTTTCACTTACTCCTTCTCATTCACTCCCTCAAGTGAACAGTATTAGTGGACTAATGAAGGGAATAGGCCTAGTAAATGAGGGTTTAGGGGGCAATTTGGGATTCAACCCATGTTCTCGAGGAGTGAAAAATAGAGGACACTCACAACGCGTTGACAGACAGGACCGAGCAGGTAATATTTAATATGAAACAGTCTCAACTTTCAAATTTGGTCAGTCAAAGAAAATCAAACAATAAATAGGCCTACGGTTTTGTGGCTCTTTAATGTGTCGTGACAGATTGTCTGATAAAGTTCCACCGACGTTAATCTACTCCTGACTGATCCTGTCAGATCATGTCTGTCAATCAAACTCCAAGCAAAGGATTAATTGACGCTACTTTAGAAGTGAAAGTTAGTTTAGTTTTCAAACTAGCGCATATTCAGGGCACAAGAACAAAACAGTTCTTTCCCGCACTACCGCACCGTTATGTATGCCCGTGAAAATGTGCACATTTTACGTTTGCCTTTAAATTAGCGATTTAAAAGCCCCCACCGGTGAGACACCGGTATTACCGGTGTTGTCACACGTCGATTAACCGGTGAGGAAATATCCTCACGTCACAACACTATTAGGGAAATGGAAAACGCCTGAACAAGAAGAGTGTTTGTTGAACATTTTAAGTGGAGGTGATGTTGTGGCCCTACTCCCGACAGGTTTTGGGAAAAGTTTAATTGATCAACTATTACCGATCGTCAGAGAAACTGGGTTGTCTAATGTCTAATTTCTTCTATGTGAATGGTTCAGCACTTCCAGGTTTAGTGTGAACATGTCAAGATCACACAGAGTTACATCCTTCTGAGGTAAATCCATGAATAGATGAAGTCTGATCAGATTTTTATAATTTTCGCTTAAGAATTTGTCTGAAGTTTAATTTCCTGCAGACATGATCAGAGTCCACTAGAGGTCATGAAGCGTGTACCTCGCACTGGTTGGTGAGTTTGGCAGAGGTCATGAAGCGTGTACCTCGCACTGGTTGGTGAGTTTGGCAGAGGTCATGAAGCGTGTACCTCGCACTGATTGGTGAGTTTGGCAGAGGTCATGAAGCGTGTACCTCGCACTGATTGGTGAGTTTGGCAGAGGTCATGAAGCGTGTACCTCGCACTGGTTGGTGAGTTTGGCAGAGGTCATGAAGCGTGTACCTCGCACTGGTTGGTGAGTTTGGCAGAGGTCATGAAGCGTGTACCTCGCACTGATTGGTGAGTTTGGCCGAGGTCATGAAGCGTGTACCTCGCACTGATTGGTGAGTTTGGCCGAGGTTATGTCCAGCTGCTGGTACTGCTCCTTGAGTTTGGAGAACTCGGCCTCCAGGCGGGTCTGCTCCAGACGGGCCGTGTTCAGCTGAGTCTTCAGACTCTTATGATCCGCCTGCAGGAGCTCACTGTCCTTCAGGAGCTGTTGGTGTGTAGAGGTCAGCCTGCACACAGGACAGGACACACGCTCATGAGAGAGAGAGAGAGAGAGAGAGAGGTTGCCTCATCATGACACTCACGTCTGGTGCTCGGCGCTGAGTCTGTGGAACTGTGCAACGGTGTCCTGATGGCTCTTGTTGTCGGAGATCATCTTCTCTCGGTCTGCTTTGAGTTCCTTCTCCAGCTGCTCCAGCTCAGTCTTCTGCTTCAACAGCTGATTATACCTGCGCACACACACACACACACACACACACACGATCATCATGGCACACTAGATCCCAGTGTCTGACTGCCTTGAGACTTCACCTCTGTACAGATCAGACGTCATCAACATGACTGCAGTTCGATTGGAAACGTGTGGAAGTGACTACAAAAAAATTAATAACTTGCGCCTTGGATCCTGTTGCAAAGTTTGCGTTCGGGAGCATCAAACGATGAACGTCCAGAACACATTAAAGCTTTTCTGCTTTCAGTTCAATATTTCAGCTTAATAATCTTTGCTCTGCTCATTCTCTGCAAGCATGACAAAAATAAGCTGATGAGAGTTCTCTTCCCCTTCTGCCGCATGAAGAGGATCTTATTATAATAATCCCTTAATCTGCACATTCACACACACACACACACACACACACACAACAGCGCCATTGGGTTGGGCGACGCCAACAGAGCCCAGTCCGAACGCACTGGAGAAGATCCAGCGGAGCCTGAAACTGTTCCGACACTGAACACTGTTGACCAGCACATGTGACCGCTGTCTTATAAACACCGTCTCAGGAACTGTGGACACTTCTAGATGGAGGCGGAGCTAAAGCTCATTTGCATTTAAAGGGACACACACAAAAATGGCGAGTTTCTGTTCACACTCAAAAAGGGACAAATATGACGAGCTATAATGAATGATCTGGTGTTTTGAGCTGAGATTTCACACACACACACACACACACACACACACACACACACACACACATGCTCCGGCTGTGAGGTGATGTACCTGTTCTCCAGGCCGCGATGCTGCCCCTCCAGACTCTTATAGCCGCTCTTCAGCTCTCCGTGTCTGCCGATCAGATCCTCGTAGTCGGACGCCTGTCTCTCGTGCAGGGCGGACAGCTTCTCGTGGTCGTGCAGCAGCAGATCGTACACCGAGCGCAGGTCTTCTTTCTCTCGTATGGCCACATCTCTCTCGCTCTCGGTGCTGGACTGCTGCGTCTGCAGCTGGGCATTCTGGGACATGAGAGCGGCGCTCTGAGAGTTGAGTGTTGAGTTCTCCACCTGTGAACACATCCCTTTCGTTCACTTCAGTTTCATCTCAAAGCACATCACAGACGTCAGCAGGGTTCCTGAAGACTCACATCAGTCCTCACGTTTACATGACAGATTCAAGCAAATCTTTTGCAATATATTCTTAATTAAAAAAATTATTTCTATTAGCCGATGTTATGCGACTAAAACGTCATTTTTTCCTCTAAAAAGTAATTCCAAAACTCATGGCGACGGCCGCCGCACTAGCCATTATTAGGAGACGTACAGCAGGCTTGTTGTCACGCATTAGTGTAAAGGAAAGACACAAACGCCCGTTTCACACACACTCCGTTTGCAGTGTGTATACGGTGTGTATATTTTCCGTACCCATGTTAACAGGTTAGAGCTTTAACACAGTCCGTCGATCCGGTCCGGGTGCTGCATCACTTCTGGACTTGAAATAAAAACAGTGAGTATGTGTTTGAGGTACAGCCGCGGATCCGTTACGCACTCCTGTAGTGTATACGCACCGCAACATGTGTGGAACGGGCGTAATACTGCGAGCGGCACGTGTGAGGGGTTTCTGGGGGTTTCTCACTCAGATCTGCTTCGAGCTCTTGATAAATTGTGGCATTTCTGTTTCCATTGCAATTTTGCAAAACATTCCTTTTTCGAAAACTTAAAACTGAACGCGTAAATACTTTTGTGTGATATATAGTAGGAGCTTTTTTTCGAAATTGTCGTTTTCCCATTGTGCGTTAGGCTTGGGCGGTATTACGGTAATATCGTATACCGCGGGATCTAAAAATAGCAACGGTATCAGTTTCAATATCGTCATACCGTCAGAAAAAAAAACAGTGCACTTAAATATAAATGCAATGTTTTAAATACAATTTATTTAATGGCTAAAATGCTTATATCTGGTTCTCATGACGTGACTGTGGTGACGAGAGAGTGGGGGGGAGAGGGCAAAGATTGCAAGTTGCGCACCGAGTGACTTGGTCTCGAAGAAGAACACGACTTCTGCAGTTTGGCAGGGATGGGCATTTCAAGCAAAAATAATATTTAAAGATTGCCTGGTATTATTCGATTATTATTTGAAAATTGTGCCCCACCACCACATGTACGCACACATGCATGTAGTCTACAGCGGGCCAGACCGTGTGACGCTTAAATATAAGCTAGGTTTGAAAAAAAAAACTTATTCCTTTCATATTTTTTTAATAATATGATGTTTTTCTATGCATGTTGATTTTATGAAAAGGGAACTTCATGAGATGAATAAGATAAGATCATAAAATGCGCAATATCGGAAAACATTTGGAATGGGTCAGTCAGACATGATTATGACCACTTATTACGTTTTGTTTTGTAGAAATCCTTTCTTTAAAACGAATTTCGTTTTGAATAAATTGCATCTTCATTTATTTATTTTTTTCATCAACGAATTGCCTGGATTAATAAATAAAAAGCAAAGATAGTAATCAGGACACGCGCCGGAGAGACTGGAGCGCGACTCATACATGAACTGAAACTCGGCATATAAGATACATGTCTTAATGATCTGAGAAGTGTATATATATAGTAAGCTTGAAATCTCTACTTTTAAACAAAACAATTACAAGCTAAAAGAAATGGTCTGCTCTCTGCTATAGGCTTATTCATATGAAGTGTGCATTAGGCTACTCTTTATTCGTGTTCACTACCGTGAAGATGCCAGTTTGCATCGTCAATGCAATCTTTATCTTTGCAGCAACTGACATAGAAAACACTAGTTTATTAATAAATAATTTTATCTCGGCTCCACTCGGCTCGTGGCGCGTGATCTTCAGAAATGCGCTCCCCTCTCTAGAGGAAATATCACCACTCTGCAATGTGCATCTCCTGTTTTCTAATAGTTGATTGACAGCTTTTAGATGCATTATTGGAACCGACACTCTCTGGTTGAACGTGTCATCATGTGTGATGCCGTCTGAGCCTTATCTCGTAATTTGTAATTAGTCACGCGGTAATACCGTATACCGCGGTGAAATAGGGAGGAGGTTTGACGGTATGAAATTTTGGATACCGCCCATGCCTATTGGGCATATTTCCAAATCGCAATTTCAAATTGCGCAGCGTAGGGGGCGGTAATGGAAACGCAGATAGCGTGAGATTGTTGTGTGCTACACTCCTGAAGAGCTAATTACAACCAAACTCCGGTTACGTCCACAGGAGGACGCTCCATCACACGCTGACGCTGGATCGCTCAGAAACGCAGTGTGACCTCTGACCTGTAGTTTGGCGTTCTGCGTCTGCAGCGTGGTGTTGTTCTCCTGCAGAGACGCGGTCTGCCTCTGTAGCGCCAGGATCTGAGCCTGCAGGTTGGTGCTCTGAGACTCCAGCTGCTTCACCTGCGTGCGCAGAGCCTGCTTCTCCGCCTGAAGAGTGGCGTTCTGCACAAACAACAGCAGCGGCGACTGGTTGGGTAACGGAAAGGCATTCTGACAAGAGCCGGGACAATACACCGATGCATCGCCAATCGAGGAATGAGTCTGGATTGGGTTAAATGTTGTGCAGATGGAGCCGTGTGACTGGCCTGAACAGCAGGGGTGTTTACATTAATCTCGTGTCGTAGATTAATTAATCCTGCGGTGCGTGTTCAGACTCAGCCTAGCGCACGAAGCTCAGGGTCGAGTCGCGATGCATCGATATATTGGCCCAGCGCTAACTCTCGAGAGCTGAGGATACATACGTTTCTCTCCACCTCGATGAGCCGGTCCTTGAGCTTCAGCAGCTCTCGCGTGGCCTCCTGACTCTCCTTCTCCCACTTCCTGACGCTGTGCTCCTCTCGCCCGCGAGCCGGCGAGCTCTGGGACACACACTCCTCCTCCTGACGCTGACGCAGCGCCTCGTAGTTCTTCTTCACCTGAACACACACAACCTACAGTCACGTCTACTGCACACACACACACAGCGCTAGCGTCTGCAACGGACCGTTCGGAGCTCCTGGCGCAGCTGCTGGTTGAGGTTGGAGGACTCCTGCAGTCGCGCTTCCAGAGCCGAGATCTTCTCCACCTTAATCTCCAGAGATGACCTCAGGGTGGACTCCAGCTTACACTCCAGAAGCTTAAACCTGAAAGAAGATCAACAATCATGACTCCAGCATTCATGTAAACACATGCTACGAGCTACTTCCTGTCCTCTTATTTCTGGCCCTCCTCAAATCAATCGATCAACTTTTATTTACAGCACAGCAAAAGCAGCAGTAGCTGGCCAACAGGAGAAATATACACAACACAAATGATAACGGGAGTTTACTTCAAAATCAGAAAATTCAACATTAAACTCGAGGACAGATGTTAGCCAGTGATAAGAGCTGGTTTCTACACAGTGTGTCAGAAAAGCGCTGGTGACCCATGACCTGTGACGGCCTCAGACGGACACACTGAATGATCGACACACACACCAGATTAATCCACTCTGGGTCGGAGTGTTTCACTGCGGGTTCTCGTCAGTTATATCGATTGGTTGTTCAGCTCTAGTACCCACAGCAGGGGTTCAGAGGTCAGTTCAGCTCCACCCATGGGTCGCGTCAGCCGAATCTTCCATCATTGATGGATTTGTTTTTAGCAGTGATGGAAAAATCTAGAATCAGTCCGTCGTTTTGACTGATGACACAGAGAGTGACGTGTTGATGTGAAGTGTAATTCTCACCCCGTCCACTTGGTGGCGAGTGGCTCGTGGACTATAAGGTTAAAGGGTAACTAAACCCCTGGTCAGAGCCTGACCCCACCCACTGGCAATATTTGAAAACGCTGAAAAAGTGGAGATAGAGTGATTTAGCATCTATTTCGTCCCCTCTATCCTGATCGTTTTCAATACTTGCAATCCCAACTCCTGACTCGCTACAGTGGTTTTGACGACACAAGCTGGTTTTTATACTGCCGCTCGTACCAAGAGCGTGGTGAGCTGAAACCTGCGTGCGTCACAAAGTGCGGAACATCCAATAAGAAAATTCAACTGCAGTAGCCACCGTTCAACCTGAAGAGGGCAGCACTAAGACGTTTTTACACCATATATTGTAGAAATAAAACACTTTATACACCAATGTCAAAAAAGTTACTCGAATCAATGACTGGTATTAATAAAGATCCATTCTTAAAGATCATTCACTAAAAAAAGTGGGTTTAGTGTTTAGTTACTCTTTAATGTTCAACGAATGTCTTTTCTGAGTTACGTGACTGTTTAAAAGCTGACGTCCTTCTGCGGTTGGAACACGGGTTGAGCGATTACATGAGAGACATATGGACTCTGGTGGTAAATTAGACTGTATCTTTCAACATATTTTTATAATGTTCATTGATGTTTATTTCGTTGTGTAACGTAGTAAAGAGTGCATTCACTCGCGCTTGGCTTGAACTCAGGCGTCTCTCACGCCACATTAAAGAGCGACGAAACAGTATTAATTGTTCGAATTAGAAAGCTGAGATTTGTTTCATATCAAAAGCAACAAAGCATATTGCAGTTTATTGGACAGACATTCATGATGAAACCTGAAGTGACGCACTGTGTTCAACTTTCTCTTCATAATCACAACTATATGTTTATCTTGTAAGTTTGTGCATAAAAATGTGATCAAAAGCAGAGCCTATTAAATGACTGTGAATTAAAATATGAAGGTTAAAATGACGGGTAATAGTAGATTATGATGTATTTTATGACCCTGTGTGGAAAAATGACAGACGACGTGGACGTCTAACACCACCGCTGCTCCAACCCTGACCACACACACTTGACCAGCGAATCACGGCTTCAGGATCAGCGCTGGAGCTGAGAGTCCCTGAACGATGGATTACCTGTCATCAGAGCTCTCCTCGTCACCCAGAAGACCCTCTTTATCCAGGCCGATCTTCTCCAGCTCATGGGTCAGCTTCTCCAGGTCATTGTTCATCTGCTGAGTCTTCAGCTTTTCATTGACCAGGTCCTACAGCAGGAAACATCACAACAAGGGTCATGCAAGAAACCCCGAATCACCTACAGCGGTCGCTTTGTCCAAACACACACACACTCGACCACCTGAAGACAGTGCACACTAAACCCACACTGTCTCAGAGCATCCCATCATGCATTATGTTCAGGAGCTCATGTTGAGGAAGCCCTTTTACTGTAATTTAAATGAATTAGATGCATATAATTTAGTAGTAAAAACAAAGTGTTGCACATTTAATCCGAGTATGGTGTGTGTAGGCAAACATTCACAACTGTGTTTATCACTTAATTAGAAGCACCACAATTTTAATCAGTTTCACAGCGACTGCTTAAAGGGTTAGTTCACCCAAAAATGAAAATTCTGTCATTATTTACTCACCCTCATGTTGTTCCAACCCCGTAAGACCTTCGCTCATCTTCGCAACACAAATTAAGATATTTAAGATATTAAGATCGCTCCTGCATACAGTCCATAGGCTTCTTGAGGGAATGACTCTAGCTGGCCTCAAAGTCATTAAAGACATCGTTAAAATAGTCCAAGTGACTACAGTGACTCAATCTTAACTTTATCAAACGGACGAGAACACTTTTGTGTGCAAAAAAACAACTAAAATAACGACTTTATTTCAACTATTGGTTTATTTCTCCCTCTGCGCGAGTCAGGTTACTAGTTTAATAGCGTAAGCTTCTGTTATTGTACGTCACACGCATCACACACATGACCAGCGTCGGCCAATAGTGAGCCTACGTGTGACGTAGCTTTTTTACGCAATCACACTACGTTAACTGACTACAGGCCCATGGAGAAGGAAGTTAATAGTTGAAATAAAGTCGTTATTTTTGTTTTTTTTTGCGCACAAAAGTGTTCTCGTCGTTTGATAAAGTTAAGATTGAGCCCCCGTAGTCACTTGGACTATTTTAACGATGTCTTTAATGACTTTTCGAGTCATTCCCTCAAGAAGCCTATGGACTGTATGCAGGAGCGATCTTAATATCTTAAATATCTTAATTTGTGTTGCGAAGATGAACGAAGGTCTTACGGGGTTGAACAACATGAGGGTGAGTAAATACTGACAGAATTTTCATTTTTGGGTGAACTAAGCCTTGAACAGACATGTAGACGTGTGTTGATAGCGAAGTGTGTCCCATCGAGTAATCAAAGGTTCTACACACACTGGCAGTGTTTACGCCAACACTGGGGCCAAACAGAGGTCACGCGTCCTGCATGTGGTCAGGTGTGTGTGTGGACGAGGCCTGCGGCGCTCACCTCTCTCAGGGTCACCAGAGTCTTCTTATCGATGGTGGCTTGCTTGACCAGCTCCTTGTTGTCCTTCTCCAGGTCTCGGGCGCGGCTGCACGTGTCTTTGAGGGCGTGGACCTCCTTGCCGAGCGCGCGGTTCTCCTTCTCCAGGTGAGCGATGCGCAGGTTGTCCTCGTCCAGCTTGGAGTCCTTGATCTCGGCCTGTTGTCGGAGCCGCTTGTTCTCCTTCTCCAGCTGCTTCCGGTCCTTCTCCAGCTGCGTGTTGTCGGCCTCCAGCGAGGCGTTCTCCTGCGCCAGCTGCTCCAGGCTCTTGCTGGAGATCTTCATCTGCTCCAGGCTCTCCTGCAGACTGTGGTTCTCCTGCTCCAGCTCCCGCACCTCTCCCTCCAGCTGCTGGATCTTGCGGCCGCCGCTCTCCAGGCCCTTCTGCAGCCGCTGGTTCTCCGCGTCCAGGCTCTGATTGCTGGCCTCCAGACGCTCGTTCTTCTTGGACGAGGCCTTCATCAGCTCCAGGCTCTTCCTGAGGTGCGTCCGCTCGTCCTCCAGCTCCCGGTTCTCCAGCTCCAGCTGTGCGGCTTTGGCTCCGCTGGACCGCAGGGACTCCACCGTGCGCCGCAGCTCCAGGTTCTCCTGGTCCAGCTCTCGGTTCTCCTTCTCCAGCCCCTCCAGCTGGTAGGACAGGTTCCTCAGGGCGTCGGCCGCCTTCTTCAGTCTCCGGCTCTCGGCCTCCAGCTCCGCGTTCTCCTTCTCCAGCACCTCCACCTTCTCGCAGGTGATGGCCTGGGCCGAGAGACGCTTCTGCAGACCCTCCTTCTCGCGCTCCAGCCGCCGCACCTCCTGCTCCAGCTCTTCGGCTCGCTCGCCGGCGTCTTTGAGCTGCTCCAGGTCCTTGCGGAGCTGCTTGCGCTCGAACTCCATCTTGTTGAGTTTGCTGCTGGTCTCTTTGATGGACTCGTGCAGCACGCGGTTCTCCTTCTCGATGTCTTTGACGCGGGCCTCGGCGCCGACCTGAGAGCGCTGCCGGAGAGAGGAGACGGTCTGGGTCAGGTGTGCGTTCTCCTGCTCCAGGCCCTTGACCTGCGTCACACACACAGAGAGAGAGAGAGAGATCGCGTTCAGCAGCTAAAGGCTGCGGATTACTAAAGATGGTCCTACTGGCCCGGTTGGGCTCGTGGATGAAATTAACAGGCTCCACCACAAAAAATAAAATAAATAATAAAATTGAATTTATCTTTCACCTCTTCTTGTGCTTGAATAGTTTAAAAACAGCTTTAATGTTGAAACTGGCAAGGCTAAGCTTTAGCGAGGATTAAGCACTGGCTGTGGGCCTGATCATCCAGAGATGTGTGTTAACTATTCGTACTATTCTGCATGCTTACAAACATACAAGTACACATTTAGAGAATTACATTGTGCCTGTAAATATGAAAAAAAAACATGAATCAAATTAGGTTAAAGTAAAGTAGCATGAAAAATAAAATGAACAGATAATACTAATATCATGTCCTGTGTTAGACCCGAGTGGAAGGGGTCACAGGGTCATGTTGTTGTCTTCTATTGCTCTCCTCATCAGAGGCCCGTCTGGATAAAAGGCTCTGATAAATAATGAATGGCTTAATGTTCCAATGCACTAATGCCTGAAACTCTGGAGTAATTTCACATGTACAGTTCTGATGTGTAATCTGCCAGCATGAACCAACAGGTCCTCTACTGGTAATCTCTCAGCCAATCAGCTTCAAGCTCCTTATTCCGCTAACATTTGAACAGTCTGGCTTCAGTGTTGCTGTAAGCGGTTCACTAATCTCTCCCAGATTACGGAGACATCAGGTCTGCTAACTGGCAGACGTTTCTAACGGGTAAGCTTTAGACACACATGGGTCAAACCAGCACAGACACACACAGACAGACTCCCAGAGCCAGGTGCAGGATGGGAGATGTTTGAGCCACACCTGACCTGCGGTTCAACACGAGTCCTGTGGGGATCTCCTGCAGTGCTGTGTGTGTCGGCAGCACCAAGACCAAACACATCCACCTATCATGACCATTACCTTGCTAAACGCTGATTCTGTCATGAGCTGTAATTACAGCCAGTGGAATATCACTGTCAAAGATTATAAGTTTTATAAAAGCTCTCCCACTTGACAATTGAGACATCAGGCACATCTGTGACCCTGGACCACAAAACCAGTCAAAAGGGGACATTTTTTTGAAATTGCGATGAATACACATCTACAATAATAGGCTTTCTATTGATGTAGGGATTGTTAGGATAGGACAATATTTGGCCGGAACATTGAGAAAATCGAAACATTGAGAAAATCGAAACATTGAGAAAATCGCCTGCACAGTTGTCCATTAATGCTGCATCCACTCACAAAAGTACCTGCTTCATCTATTTACGGTAGGAAATTTACAAAATATCTTCATGGAACATGACCTTTCCTAAATATCCGTATTATTTTTGGCATAAAAGAAAAAGCGATCATTTTGACCCATAGAGTGTATTGTAGGTACACCCGTGCGACTCCAGACTGGTTTTGGTTTTTACTGTAGAAATCAATGATTTTGTCTGGAAGACCAGAAAAGCTGATAATGAAATGAGGATGTGTTGTGATGAGTGTGAGTGAGGTTTACCTGTCTGTCGGAGTTCTCCTGGAGCGTCTCCAGTGTTTTCTCCAGTTGAGCTTTCTCCTTCAGCAGATCTGAGCTCAGACTCTCAGCACTGCGCAAACTCTCTCTGTCTGCGGCCAGCTCCGTCTGCAGCTGCTCCAGCTGCGCACACACACACACACACTGAGCACTCTCGACATATGGACACACACTCGCTCATAATGAGCAATCAAACTAATCCTCTGAAAGCAGCTTAACTAAACCCACATCAGACTCAAACTGGGATTATTCCCTGATGAATATGATCCAGCTCGGGGCGCTTGCTGTCCGTCACACTTAACCCATTCTGGGCAAACTTCTCTCCTTTCTTTGTGTGAGAAACACAATATACTGAGTTTTAAAAAAAGTCCACAGCACAACGGCACAGGGGAACATCATCTTGGCAATCACTTCCTGCCAGCTGATCAAGATAAACACATCGGCAGCCAATCAGAACCCATCCTGCTTTGAGGAGCGCGAGCGTTTAAAGCAGCAGACGGCAATAATAAACAGAATGATACCGTCTGCCGTTGTGGACACTGAAATAGTTATCGTTGTAGTTATATATAGCCAACGTGACTCTTCTCACGCCTGGTCTAATTCTGTAATGACATTTCACTGATCGCACTTATTTCTTTATTATATACAGAACTTTTCATAAATCCTCATGGGTAAAATGAAGAATGAAGCTTATGAACTCCAACAGATCTTAGGAAGGGTTAGTGAGAACAGTGTTGAGACTCGGCGATGTGATGATCAGGATAAAATTGCTCAAGTTTTTGTTTAAAGGCAGATTTTTGCTCCTAAGTGAAAGTTGTAGAAGTTGCAGAACATGACAAACACGTCACGTTTTTTAATTCTTTACATTTTTATGGTCATTTTTCTTAAAGAAATACACTTTTCTGATAAGATATTTATTTATTTAGTTTCTACACATGCTAACGGCTGTTATCGTTTCAAATCAAACCGGTTTGCGTCGCCTGACTCTGATGCCTATCTTTGGCCCAGTTTGCAGTGCAGGCTGCATTATTAATCATTTTATATGTTTTGCCTCTTAAAGGTCCCGTTCTTCATGTTTTTTGAAGCTGATTGTGTTTGCAGTGTGCAATATAACACGTGTTCATGTTTCGCCTGTAAAAAAACACTGTATTTTTCACACAATTTACTCATCTGTATACTGGCGTTTTCACTGTCCAAAAATCGGGCCGATGACTTCCTTGCTCTATAAAGTCCCTCCTTCAGAAATACGTAACGAGTTCTGATTGGGCCAGCGGTTCCTGTGTTGTGATTGGACAACAGCTTGTCGTACGCCCGGAAAGGTCACGCCCCTTACCATATATTGGAGATGCATGCGCAGCTGAAGTGACCACGCCCCCTATTTTTGTGTATTCCTAGTTACGTCATTAAAAAGGAAGTGGAGGGACGTAGTCCAAACCAGACGTTCGCTGTAGGCTTTGAAAGGGGACGTCTGTTAAATAAAATATCTCGCTTGGCATTGAACTTTGAGTTTTATAATTTTACAGCTATAATTTATGCTCTAACAGCAACATTACACACTAACTAAAGTTTGAAAAACAGAATCGTGAAGAACGGGACCTTTAAAAATGCACATTTGACAGCAAGATAACAGTAGTAGCTTGAGTTAGGATGCAGATGTACATTTATGATTATGAACAAAACCGTAACATATGTAAAAAATAATAACAACCTCATTTTTATATGGTAAAATTGAAATATTCTGACTTGGGTTTTATTAAAGTTACCCATTGGTTTCCATAGTATCATACATTTTGGCCAAAATAACCACAGTTAAATCCATCATATTGCACCTCAATCCCATGGTATACTCATTCAATACTCATTCTGTGCTTAAACTAGGAGCTGGGCTCTTAAGGCAGCCCCTCGGGAACTCCCCATGCATGCTCCGCTCCAACGACCCCGTGGCCGATCGTTCAGTGTCTGAGTGACCGTGGTTCAAATGAGTATAACTGAATTCATGCTACTTTTTTCCCCAACAAATCTGTCATCTTTGGGTGATAATTCGAGGTTAGTTTCAGTTGAAAGCTGCATGCTGACTGGGTGTTGCCGCTTTTATTTCTGCAGTGTGATTGGCTGTTCGATTAATCCATACAGCATAAAAATATCCAGAGCCTATCATCGTGATCAACGTCACTTTTTAAAGCGGTTCGATATGATTTGGTTCATCGGCCCAGCCCTACTCGCGGTGTGACCTCTGACCTGTTGGATGAGAGTGTGTTTCTCCAGTCATAGGCGTGTGCTGCTGTGACCTCTGACCTGTTGGATGAGTGTGTGCTTGTCTTTCTCCAGGCGTAGGCGTGCGCTGCTCTCGCTCGCCGCCTTCAGCTCCTCCACGCTCTTCTGCAGCATCTGATTCTCCTTCTCCAGCTTCAGCAGCTGACTGGACGTCAGGTCGTTCACCTCGTGACCCAGAGACTTCTGCGGCACTGCCAACACACACACCTCTGAGAGTTACCAACACACACATCTCTGAGAGTTACGACACACACACCTTAGAGTCAGCTCAGGTGTGTGTGTACCTTCAGTCAGCTCAGGTGTGTGTGTGTGTGTGTGTACCTTCAGTCAGCTCAGGTGTGGTCTTGGAGAGCTGCTCCAGTTCCCAGCCCAGGTGCAGAGACTCGTCCATGCTCTGTTTCTGAGCCATCTCTAGCGTCAGGTTCTCCTCCATCAGCTCCTCCATCCGCTTCCGGTCCAAGTCCCGCTCCTGCAACACAACACCATCATACATCAGCACTAGCATACTGCACATCTTCAGTTTAAAACAGATCATTATATTTATGCAGAGTTGATAGACTGTCCTGTCATTTATTTATGTTCTCCATTTGAAAACAGACTTTGTGTCTTTATTTATTTTGCCTATTGCTAACCGTGTTCCTGCTGTTGCAACAAAATAGAAAAATGTAACTGTGATTACTAACCTACACTAAAGTAGCCTAACCCTATATATATATAGTTAAAATAATCTTTACATGCTTTATGTGTAAACTGTATATTCACCAGATAAAATATTTTATTTAAAAAGAAACTTTAGTAAGAGTACACATTTTTTGTTTTGTACTTTTATTCAGACCAAAATAAGAGTTGTTTTGTTTAGTTTGCAAGGAGGGAGTGAAAAAAAATTACAGTATTGAAAAAAAGTGTTAAATAAAACAGTTTGTTCATTTCAGCGCTGTTGTTAGAACTGTGTCAAAAAAAAATTAACAGTTCAGTTCAGCTTATCGGGCACATAAACTTCCACATAATCATATCAGTAATAAAAAAAACAATAAACATCGGCCGATCTCTACTCTACAGTGCTGTTTAAATATACGTTTGATCTATATGCTCTCTCACCATCTCCATGTCGTGGATCTTGTTTTTAAGCTGCAGATTTTCCTTCTCCAGCTCATGATGTTTATCAGATCGAGCTCTGAATGACTCCAGCTGATCCTCCAGCATGCTTTTGGTCTCCAGCAGAACCTGATTGTCCTCCTTCAATTCCTACATAAATAATCAAAATCAGCCATCACCCTCATGAACACACACAATCAATAACCGCCACAGCATTCCCAACATTCCCATCGGGAACACACACAATCAATAACTGCCACAGCATTCCCAACATTCCCATCGGGAACACACACAATCAATAACCGCCACAGCATTCCCAACATTCCCTCGGGAACACACACAATCAATAACCGCCACAGCATTCCCAACATTCCCTCGGGAACACACACAATCAATAACTGCCACAGCATTCCCAACATTCCCATCGGGAACACACACAATCAATAACTGCCACAGCATTCCCAACATTCCCTCGGGAACACACACAATCAATAACCGCCACAGCATTCCCAACATTCCCTCAGGAACACACACAATCAATAACCACCACAGCATTCCCAACATTCCCTCGGGAACACACACAATCAATAACCGCCACAGCATTCCAAACATTCCCTCGGGAACACACAATCAATAACCGCCACAGCATTCCCAACATTCCCTCGGGAACACACACAATCAATAACCGCCACAGCATTCCCAACATTCCCTCGGGAACACACACAATCAATAACCGCCACAGCATTCTCAACATTCCCTCGGGAACACACACAATCAATAACCGCCACAGCATTCCTAACATTCCCTCGGGAACACACACAATCAATAACCGCCACAGCATTCCCAACATTCCCTCGGGAACACACACAATCAATAACCGCCACAGCATTCCAACATTCCCTCGGGAACACACACAATCAATAACCGCCACAGCATTCCAACATTCCCTCGGGAACACACACAATCAATAACCGCCACAGCATTCCCAACATTCCCTCGTGAACACACACAATCAATAACCGCCACAGCATTCCTAACATTCCCTCGTGAACACACACAATCAATAACCGCCACAGCATTCCTAACATTCCCTCGGGAACACACACAATCAATAACCGCCACAGCATTCCCAACATTCCCTCGGGAACACACACAATCAATAACCGCCACAGCATTCCCAACATTCCCTCGGGAACACACACAATCAATAACCGCCACAGCATTCCCAACATTCCCTCGGGAACACACACAATCAATAACCGCCACAGCATTCCCAACATTCCCTCGGGAACACACACAATCAATAACCGCCACAGCATTCCTAACATTCCCTCATGAACACACACAATCAATAACCGCCACAGCATTCCCAACATTCCCTCGTGAACACACACAATCAATAACCGCCACAGCATTCCCAACATTCCCTCGGGAACACACACAATCAATAACCGCCACAGCATTCCCAACATTCCCTCGGGAACACACACAATCAATAACCGCCACAGCATTCCCAACATTCCCTCATGAACACACACAATCAATAACCGCCACAGCATTCCCAACATTCCCTCGGGAACACACACAATCAATAACCGCCACAGCATTCCCAACATTCCCTCAGGAACACACACAATCAATAACCGCCACAGCATTCCCAACATTCCCTCAGGAACACACACAATCAATAACCGCCACAGCATTCCCAACATTCCCTCGTGAACACACACAATCAATAACCGCCACAGCATTCCCAACATTCCCTCATGAACACACACAATCAATAACCACCACAGCATTCCCAACATTCCCTCGGGAGCACAGTCAATAACTGCCACAGCATTCCCAACATTCCCTCGGGAACACACACAATCAATAACCGCCACAGCATTCCCAACATTCCCTCATGAACACACACAATCAATAACCGCCACAGCATTCCCAACATTCCCTCATGAACACACACAATCAATAACCGCCACAGCATTCCCAACATTCCCTCATGAACACACACAATCAATAACCGCCACAGCATTCCCAACATTCCCTCGGGAGCACACACAATCAATAACTGCCACAGCATTCCCAACATTCCCTCATGAACACACACAATCAATAACCGCCACAGCATTCCCAACATTCCCTCGGGAACACACACAATCAATAACCGCCACAGCATTCCCAACATTCCCTCATGAACACACACAATCAATAACCGCCACAGCATTCCCAACATTCCCTCGGGAGCACACACAATCAATAACTGCCACAGCATTCCCAACATTCCCTCGTGAACACACACAATCAATAACCGCCACAGCATTCCTAACATTCCCTCAGGAACACACACAATCAATAACCGCCACAGCATTCCCAACATTCCCTCATGAACACACACAATCAATAACCGCCACAGCATTCCCAACATTCCCTCGGGAGCACAGTCAATAACTGCTACAGCATTCCCAACATTCCCTCAGGAACACACACAATCAATAACCGCCACAGCATTCCCAACATTTCCTCATGAACACACACAATCAATAACCGCCACAGCATTCCCAACATTCCCTCGGGAGCACAGTCAATAACTGCTACAGCATTCCCAACATTCCCTCAGGAACACACACAATCAATAACCGCCACAGCATTCCCAACATTCCCTCAGGAACACACACAATCAATAACCGCCACAGCATTCCCAACATTCCCTCGGGAGCACAGTCAATAACTGCTACAGCATTCCCAACATTCCCTCAGGAACACACACAATCAATAACCGCCACAGCATTCCCAACATTCCCTCGTGAACACACACAATCAATAACCGCCACAGCATTCCTAACATTCCCTCATGAACACACACAATCAATAACCGCCACAGCATTCCCAACATTCCCTCGGGAACACACACAATCAGTAACCGCCACAGCATTCCCAACATTCCCTCTGGAACACACACAATCAATAACCGCCACAGCATTCCCAACATTCCCTCGGGAACACACACAATCAATAACCGCCACAGCATTCCTAACATTCCCTCAGGAACACACACAATCAATAACCGCCACAGCATTCCCAACATTCCCTCATGAACACACACAATCAATAACCGCCACAGCATTCCCAACATTCCCTCGGGAGCACAGTCAATAACTGCCACAGCATTCCCAACATTCCCTCGTGAACACACACAATCAATAACCGCCACAGCATTCCCAACATTCCCTCATGAACACACAAAATCAATAACCGCCACAGCATTCCCAACATTCCCTCATGAACACACACAATCAATAACCGCCACAGCATTCCCAACATTCCCTCATGAACACACACAATCAATAACCGCCACAGCATTCCCAACATTCCCTCATGAACACACACAATCAATAACCGCCACAGCATTCCCAACATTCCCTCGTGAGCACACACAATCAATAACTGCCACAGCATTCCCAACATTCCCTCATGAACACACACAATCAATAACCGCCACAGCATTCCCAACATTCCCTCGGGAACACACACAATCAATAACCGCCACAGCATTCCCAACATTCCCTCATGAACACACACAATCAATAACCGCCACAGCATTCCCAACATTCCCTCGGGAGCACACACAATCAATAACTGCCACAGCATTCCCAACATTCCCTCGGGAGCACAGTCAATAACTGCTACAGCATTCCCAACATTCCCTCAGGAACACACACAATCAATAACCGCCACAGCATTCCCAACATTCCCTCAGGAACACACACAATCAATAACCGCCACAGCATTCCCAACATTCCCTCATGAACACACACAATCAATAACCGCCACAGCATTCCCAACATTCCCTCAGGAACACACACAATCAATAACTGCCACAGCATTCCCAACATTCCCTCATGAACACACACAATCAATAACCGCCACAGCATTCCCAACATTCCCTCGGGAACACACACAATCAATAACCGCCACAGCATTCCCAACATTCCCTCATGAACACACACAATCAATAACCGCCACAGCATTCCCAACATTCCCTCAGGAACACACACAATCAATAACCGCCACAGCATTCCCAACATTCCCTCATGAACACACACAATCAATAACCACCACAGCATTCCCAACATTCCCTCGGGAGCACACACAATCAATAACTGCCACAGCATTCCCAACATTCCCTCGTGAACACACACAATCAATAACCGCCACAGCATTCCTAACATTCCCTCAGGAACACACACAATCAATAACCGCCACAGCATTCCCAACATTCCCTCATGAACACACACAATCAATAACCGCCACAGCATTCCCAACATTCCCTCGGGAGCACAGTCAATAACTGCTACAGCATTCCCAACATTCCCTCAGGAACACACACAATCAATAACCGCCACAGCATTCCCAACATTCCCTCGGGAGCACAGTCAATAACCGCCACAGCATTCCCAACATTACCTCGGGAAACACAGTCAATAAAATCCACCGCATTCCCAGAATTCCCTTGTGAACGCAGTGATGTGAACGCACCTCGACTCTGGTCCTGTAGAACTCGATGTCGTGGAGCTTCTCCTTGTAGCGGATCACTTCACTCTCCAGCTTGTCGACTCTGACGGCCTTCTCTCTGAACGCGTCGAGCTCATCCCGATACGCCCGCAGCGAGCGCGCGTCACACACCAGCTGCACGTTCTGACACACAAACACACAATTACACTTCTGTACCTCTTCAAATGTGTCTCCTTTTATAACAAAGTTCAGTCTTTGTATACACACAAAACTATTTTTGGAATAGATAAAAATGAAATCTCTGCTATTATTGAGACATGCATAGATGTCTATATTTACCACATCCGACTGCTCAGTCACTGATAATAATACCAATGACTTTTCATTTAAAATGCCACAACAATGTGCAGCGTACGGTTATAAGAGCCAGGGATATATGACACGGGTCTCTGATGATCAATCTTATTTATCAGAGTTGTTTTAACCAATATTCTTTTTGATTTACTAAATGCAAAATTATCCAACATTAACTCTTTCTCCGTCACTGATGGAAATTTCCAGCTATCTGTGTTTTCTCTGTTATACGGTAGAGGGCGCTGTTACACATCTACTGTAAGAGCACAGAATATCTCCTGATTAAAACACAGGAGAAGAAGCAGAGACCAGCGATAGAAGAGTTGCTGACGCAATTTTTCAGCTTTTTTGTTCAAACTTATGCTTTATGAAACTAAAAAAATAATGCATGAAGCTAGAATAAAGCAGTTTTTAGTTTTTTTTTTTTTAAAGAGAAGGTCTGTTCTTTTTTTTTGGTATATTGCATGTTTAGACAACTAAATATTTTCGGAGCCATGAAAGTTTTGTGAATATGATTGATTTTTAAATGCTGCCACTGGCTTGCAATTTTAAAAACAATAACGCTGGTGGGAAAGAGCTGATGGGAGGACATGGATATTCATACGGGCTCCAGGATCTGGGAACCACTGCTGTGAGCCGTATAACATCTCAAACACAAACACAAGTAAATCATGCGAGTCTACAACGAACAGATGATGACTCAAGTTAATTTCTGGGGAACGGCCCCTGTTAGAGCCCGTGTGTGTGGATGCATCACTCGATCAGACAGCGGTACACAGCATCTATAAATACACGTGTGATTGGCTGAGCTGTTATTGGATGAGTAAAGCTGAGGTGTCTAAGTAGGTAAAGGAATTACAGTAATCATGACACATTAGGACTGGCTATTACGATGACAAAGATTAAGTGTAGCTCAGAGTCACACAGGAACACAGACAGGTGTGGTGACGCCTCACTTCCTGCTGCAGTCTCTTCACTTCCTGCTCCATGTGGTCCACTTCCTGTCTGCAGTCCAGCAGCTGCTCGGTCTTCTCCTCTCTGAAACACACATCAATACACCCTCAGCCCCAGGTCAAAGGTTAACTCGTGAGGCATCAGCCACAGGTCAAAGGTTAACTTGTCAGTCACATGATGTCACTCTGGTGAAACTGTGATAATCCCACAGTAAGACGAGAGAACTTCTACTATTGAAGTTTACTGGAGGGCGTATTATTCCTCACCGGAGCACTGCTGAGACGTGAACTCTAAGGCTAGTCATCGAGGACTGAATCTGCAGCGTCGGCCCTGAGATGATTCTCCACTAACAGGCTTTGAATCACTGAATAGATTTCCTTATTCTCAGATAAACTCACACTGAATGAGGAGTTTACATTCAACATTATGATATACACATTGGAAATGAAAGATAAACAGGTTTTCCAGCATGTCTTAGAGATTTTGAACCGGTGTGCTGTTGAATATATGCAGTATAGCACAGATGCACTCCGCAACCGTGGACTCGACCGAACCCGAGCCGGCGGGAGGAAGCAGCGCTACTGATGCGGAAACATGCTATACAGGTTCAGGCCAGCGTTAGCCAGCGCTGAGGAACACGACACTCTGTCCATACGTGACTAACATTTCAATAACATCCATTCTCTCCTGAAAGACTTCCTCACACACTCCTCACACACTCCTCACACACTCCTACAGGAACTCCACCCCACCGGCGGGATCTTGAGCTAACTGGGGGACTGACTCTTAGCTTTAAGAGAATTGGTAACTTGCTTTTATACTCATGTTTGAAAGTAGGAGCAAATATCTCACTGAAGACTTCTGTGGCCCTTTGAGAAGCTTGCTAAATACGGCCGTGATGAGAGCGTGACTGTGTGTGATCAAACACAGACTGGGGAACAGGAAGAGGAACTGTGTGACTGTTTTATAGCACAGATTAAAATAGCGCGTCCTCTTTCCCTGCAGTGACGAGCACAGCCTCATTACCGGCGTGAGCACGAGCCAGCGCTCCTCTGATCGGCCCTGATAACGTGTTTAATGCTTGTAGGACCATCTGACTTGTTTCAGACAGGAACTGATTTAGTGTGAGAGGTCGACTGCATCAGCTGCATCACCCAGGCCTGATCTCTGGACATCTGCCGTCTGACACAGGCTTCCTGCAGATCCGAAACCTCAGTCCAGGACTACAATCAGAGATCTCACTCATCAAACAATATCTTTATTATCTTTCTAATTCTAAAAACAGTTAAAAGATAAACAAAAATATATTAATAAAACAAAATGGTTTAATAAAGTGCAGTGGATGCAATGACTGCGGGAACTTTAACCATCGACAGGATACTACGACGAAGATATCGCTGAACTCGTTCAAACTGGTTTATTCCCATGAAAGCTGTAATATATAGTCTGATATTTATATGAGCGATGGCACTCATATCCATGCGAAATGCCTCTATTTCAGACAGACTACAGCTTTCATTTTGTGTGAAAAGATTGTTGAATCAATAAAATTAAACACTAATTCCACATATATTGTCTTCAATAGTTCAAGCACTTCCATTTCAAACCTCAAACTCAAGCACTTGTAAAAAAAGTTTCTCGAGCACAAAACCAGCATTACAATGATTCCAGATAATCATGCGACACTGAAGACTGGAGTAAAACTACTTCACAGAAAAAAACAATTAATATATACAATAAAATATATTGTTGAAAAAAAGTTAAATGTGAATATTTGACAATATTGCTGTTTTTACTGTATTTTTGATCAACTAAATGCCGCCTTTGTGAGCATGAGACACTTCTGTCGAAAACAGTAAATCCGCAGTTAATATAAAATACGCTGAAAAACTCGTTTCAGCCTCTGGATTCAGCGTGTAGTTATTCCCGACGGTCATGTGATTAGGGTTAGGGTTAGATAGACTGATTTCCTCTACTCCTGCTGTTATTTGTCGTTCCGCATGTTCTGTTATATCTTCTTTAATCTTCTTCTTCTGTGCAGCGCTTTGGTCAGCCTAGTGGCTGCGGTAAATGTGCAATATAAATGAAAATTGAACTTGACCTTTTAATTAGTACAGTAAGTTACTGTAAATGACTGATCAGGGTTTGTTAAGAGCAGATTAGATCACTGTGATCTCTGCGGTCATCCTCTGTTCCTGTTCCTGAAGTCATCAGAAGGAGAAGGGCTTTAAGAGCTTCTCTAATGGACTCCAGCAAACACACACCCTCACCTGAACACCTGAGAGACACTTCCCCTCGTGTAAAGAGGAAGTGATGTCAGATACTCACAGCTCCTGGCGCAGGCGTCTGATCTTAGCTTTAGCGTCGGCTAGCTCCACAGACAGATGCTGAACGCTCTCTGTGCGGCTCATGCTGGGAGACTCGCTGGGCGACGGGGCGAGAGTCATGTGACCACAGTCCCGCTCCACAGTCAGAGAGACGATCATCTGACAGAAGAACACACACACATTATGCTGAGCATCATGGGTAATCAATGTAGTGGTAAATATTGATTAATGTGTTTATACAGGGCTCGACACAGGCCTTTCATGCACTTGTTCGGCTTCGAGTTGCGTCATCAATCGTCAGTGTTCAGCTTTGACATATCTAAATCTGCATATTGTTATATCTGCACCTTTAACCCCCTAAATTGTCACCCCATTACACTCAACTAAATATTTAAAAATCAATCAATCAATCAATCAATATTTCAAAATATATTATAAATATTTCAAAATCAATCAATCAATCAATAGGACTAAGCAGGGTTATTTCGAGGACGGATCGCTGGAAGCTGTATTTGTGAGAGTGTATCGTATTGTAAGGCCATTTATTTAAATGATGAAAGTGGTTCCTGAATATAAGCCTGAGTGAGTCACATGGTCATTCAGCGAGTGTTGTCATTGGTTACCTCAGCGTGCTGGTCTCTCTCGTCGACGAGGCGCTTGAGGTTAAAGGTCAGGTGTCTGACGAGCTCGTCTTTATCGTGCGGGACAGGCTCGCTCTCCTCCGCACACTGAAGGTCAAACACGTTCTCCTGGTTATGGGTCACCTTCACAAACACACAGATAACAGAGGGTCAGAGGTCAGAGGTCAGCTTCACTCGTGTGGTCATGTAAAAACACACCTCTTGAATGTGAGCGGCGATGGCTGCCTGTGTTTCGAGGTCCAGCGTCTGGATCCTGTCGATATACTCCTCCTTCCTGTTACACTGCAACACAGAGACAGTGTGTGTGAGAGAGAGTGTGTGTGTGAGTGTGTGAGAGAGTGAGTGAGTGAGTGTTTGTGTGTGTGTGTGTGTGTGTGTGTGAGAGAGAGTGTGTGTGTGTGTTTCACCTGTACAGCACAGCCCAGCAGCAGCAACAGTAGTTTCCTCATCTCCTCCAGTCCTTGCTCTGAAACACACACACACAATCAGAGGAAACTAAACTAAACTTTAAACTCTGACTTCAACACAGACATATTTAATGAAAAATATAACGTTTTGAAATAAACAGTTTATTAAACATTCTGACATTATATACAAGAAAATCTAAGAAAAAGAGTGTGTGTGTGTGTGTGTGTGTGTGTACTGTGTGTTCCTGACAGGAAGCTCAGGCATGGTCAGTGAGGGACACACCCTTCCTGTGACCCTGAACTCCTGCGGTGACATCACTGGCTGTGGTCACTGTCAGGAACTCTGCTCATGTTCACATTCATGATGCTTTAATGAGCTGCCTGACCAATAGCAAGCCAGAACAATCCAGCCATCCAATCAACTCCCCACAGACACAATCAAGCCCCGCCCACATTAGTCCAGTTCCAGAAGTGCTTCAGTTCTACATTCAGCTGATCCTGAGAGGAAATATTATCCTTCTCACAAACAAACAAAAACCTTCAGTATTGTCGTCCTGCACTTCCTGTTCGACCTCGTTCCCTTTGAAAGGAATGCTGTGATCATGACGTCAGATGTCACGTGATGCAGTGACATCATCATGACATCACTCTCTCACGCGAGGCTTGTTTTGGGATGCGTGTTTTTATGAATTGTGAATCACTTTTTCTTTAGTACAGACCTATCTTTTTACTTTATTGTTTTTTTTAAATAAAAATGCCATTGCATGACCCATAGAGGGAATATTCACACTTAACGAACACATAAAACATCATATCAGAGTTTTAAAATCAAACATTTTAAAAGAGAACAATACATCACGGTCGTTTAAACCAATCAGCATTAAGCTGTGTCGTCAGCAACTCGTTTCCCATCATGCTTCTGATGAGCGCAGTCAGTGGAGAGCAACTGCCAGCCCAGTGTCAATCAAGGAAACACCAATGAGCCGCCCACAATGCATTACACCGGCACTAACCCAGCGCCGTCAATCAAGCAGACGATGTACGAGTTCTCTGGGCCGTTAACACAAAAAACTAAACAAAAAAGCATGAGATGTATCGGCCCAAAAAGCCCGAATCTGGTGGCATTAGCATGCCTGGACGTTGCACTTTAACCCTTTCCCCATGGACTCCCTCGTCCACTGCCATCGCCTCTCCCTCCAGCTCTCTCTAATCTAGCCCCACAGCTTTACTGCTTCATCCGTCCTGTTCGACACGTTACTCGCAGACACAGTAACAGAAATGGACACAGCGACCCCGCTGATCGAGAACACTGCACTTCCTGTCTGACGTCTGAGCGTGACCACAGTCTGACAGATGCTAATCTTCTCTAGCTGTGCCGAATCTGAATCGCCCAACTCGTTGCTTTTGTGGCCTCCATCTATGGGCTTCTCCTCGACTGTATGCCTCATGTCCCCCGACTGCCTCATTAACAGTGAAAGACTGCCTGCGAGCTTCTCCTCCTGTCTATACGATAACGTCTCTATTATGCGACAGAAGGTGACTCCAGGGTCAAGGGTCAAATGTGAAAAATGAGAATTGTCACAATGTTATTTAGCATGGATATGAATGGAGACTGAGATGAGGCGTACCACTGAGAGGAGTCCTGCCCAACACCAGCACATCAGGAAGTGACATCACCACCAGCTGCTGCAGCGCCTCCTGGAACACACACACACACACACACACACGTCAACAATAATTCACAACACAGTTGATGCTACGGCCGTTACGCGGCGTTACTCTAGCAGTGGATCTCGTCTGATCGCGTCACTGACTGACGTCTAGGGCTGGGTAATAAATATCGATTTCTCGATATTAATCGTTTCTCGTTTATACGAACCGATATCAATTCTGAAATCTCAAGAATCGATTAGTCATCCTGTTTCATTTGAATGAATGGGACATTATATCGCGGCTGCGCACATCCAAAAAAAAAAAATCGCAATAATCTTTGTCCTTTGTTACTATTGATATGAAACAAAGTCTCAATTTTCAAATTACGTCCATTTTCTTTAGAAATTCAAAAACATAAATAGCGTTTTGTCGCTGTGGCGTGAGATCGCTCTGGAGAAGCAGCAGCGCTGATCTCTCTTCCGGCTTAATAATACCAGTCACAGCGCCAAATAAACATGAATGAGCATCTGAAAGTGTGTTAAAGATAGAGCACAACTTATCCAAATCCGGATCATGTCACATTGATTCGCTCAATCAGCGTTTCAACCGTGGAAAGACGTCAGTTAAACAGCTTGTAATCAATGTATCGTCATATTTACCTCAGAAAACCCACCTAAACTCGTTAGTCAGCTAGAAAAAATAACTCTAGAGAGGAGCATTTTGCTAAATATATACACCATATTACATATGCATTATAATCTTAATGTTCTTCAATATTTAATGCATATTTGAATAAATCTGGAAAGTTTTTTATGACAGCCACCATTTAAATGTTTATATTTCATATAATCTTCTTATTATAAAAATAAATAAAAGTGTCATGTAAGTGTTTGTATAGCTACAAAACAGTTCATTATTACCTTCATATTAGGCTAATGAAGCCTATAGGCTACAGCTAGACTCCCATAGTTTACAGCATTAGTTCAGAGATTTGATTCCTTTGAGAAAAATGGCCATTTATTGGAACTGATATCCAAAATAATCAATATTGAATCGAATCGAATCATAATTGACATCGAATCGAATTGCAAGCTTGTGAATCAAAATCGAATCGAATTGTGAAATCTGTATCAATACGCAGCCCTAGTGATGTCTCGGAGTATCAGTGTGTTCGAGAGTGTGTGTTGCTGTTATCGAACTCTCTGCTGGAGAGTGTGTGTGTGTGTGTGTGTGTGTGAAGGAACACAACAGGAGACTGAGCCGCTACTAGATTAACTGATAATACTCTCATCAGTGCTTAAGAGCTCATGTGCTGCAGCTGTGTGTGTGTGTGTGTGTGTTTCGCCGCCTCATTCACCAGCTCCTGCAGCTCAAACACTGAACACACACATCTGATCCTTCACTGTAATGGAAGAGTTGTTGATAAAAGCATAATAATTCAAATTTAAAATGAATGAACGACATCAATATCATCCTGGTGTACAAGCAGCAGATTAACACACACACACACTCACTCACACACACAAACCTACTCACACACACTCACTCACACACGTGCAGCAACATGCACTCATCATCACCTCTGCTATGTGAGGAATGCTGCAGAAACACACACACACACGGCTGGAGCAGATCTGACACACACTGTAACAACCATCAGATGAGTGAGTACGTGTGTGTGTGTGTGTGTGTGAGAGTGAGTGAGTGTCCGAGAGAGAGAGAGTGTGTGTGTCACCTGATAGTAGCTCTTGATGTGCTGCACGAGGACACACAGGTTCTGGATGCGCAGCGACGGGTCGTTGTTCACCTTCCTGTGGGCTCTCTGGACACTCGTCTGGGGGTTTCTGTCTCACACACACACACACACACACACACCTGTTCAGCTCATCTTCATCAGTGTGTGTGTAAATGAGTTTCTGCTACACTAAAGGCAGTCGTGATTAATCTCAGTTCTGGCTCGAGTCTGAGGGAAGTGATGTCGCTGTTTAATCCCGACAGAAACCAGCTTTCATTCATTAGTACGTCCACTGAAGAGATCCTGCGATATCAAGCATGTCAAGACTATCACACTGGTCACATGTTCAACCAAACATGAAAATAACCCCATCATTTACTCTCCCTCAAGCCATCCTGTGTGTGTCTGTGTGTGTCTATCTGTCTGTCTGAGTCGGTAAGTGTGTGTGTGTGTGTGTGTGAGAGTGTGTGTGTGTGTGTATTTGGCTGTTCAGTAATAAACAACATTCACACACTGAAACAGCATATGGACAGCTGTAATCACACACACACACACACACACACACACTAACAGCTCTGACATGCTGCTCTATCAGTCAATACACACACAATGACACACAGCCCCGAGCAATAGTGACTAACCTAGTTCTGACAGACACACACACACACGCATTATCCAGTCATTCACTCACTCAAGCACACGCACACACGCGCGCGCACACACACACACACACACACACACACACACACACACTGCATAGAGAGAGAACGAGCCACAGCTCTATAGATGGGCAGGAGTGAGAACATGTTTATGATGATATATATTAGAGGAAGGCGAATCAGAGCGGACACACACTCATGATCACAGTGTGCACCTGATCCATCACTCCGGCTACGCTTCAACAGTCATTTCATTATCAACATTGACACTATCAAAATATGAGGAAAATTTTATTTTTAATAAGGAGGAAAACCAAAACACTAAAAGGCATTTATCTGACAAAATTATTTGGCAAAAAGGCAAAAACACTGCATAGAAAAACGAGAAGCTGACAGGAGAAAGCAAACAATGACTACAGGATAATCAGTTTATTAATATTCAGTTCCCTCTCGGTTTCTTGTGTTCATCTCTTTGTTTGACTGGAACACATTTATAATAGTGTCTGAGTAAAGGGACATGCGAAGTTTAGGCCGGACATCTAGAGTAGATCATCAGACGGTCCACAGAAACACACACTTTGCTCTGCACACTATCTCTGTTGTGTGCAGAGCAAAGCACACACACACACACACACAGGGAGTGTGTGATCGTGTTCAGCCATCTCGAGATGATTTAAAACATCAGGAATCGCCCCAAATGCTGCCAGAGCCAGAGAGAGGGTTCTCACTGCAGAATCGGATCAAGATGAAAGTAGCGAAGTCGCCTTGCAGAGAACAAGGTTACGCGGCTTATGCGCATTGCAAGTTGTGGAGAGACACTGCGAAGTTTTGATTTTAAGTCGACAGCTGCACATTTCAGCACTGCAAAACAGCGTAAAAGTAGCTTAAAATTACGCGAGACAATGTTATAGGTCTAGTCATTTGTTTGTTCCAATTGATTTGACAAGGAATTTCACGGTGGCCAATTTAAATGTTACCAGCTAAATGAGACGCTACTGAGGGTGTATATAATCAAGTTCGCTTGAGTAAAAACTATATTCAGATATTGTATGTGGGGAGGGGGGATTGGTTTGTTAAACTAATGTGAATAGCAAAAACAATTGGCGTTGATTGACGCCAATCGGACGTTCATGTTTTCATGGTTTCCGTCTATTTGACAGTTATGCTAATAAACAGGTTGCATTCTATACGGCCTGATTATGTCATTTTTTAAGTTACATGCCTGACTCCAGTTTTCCTCTACTTGACTAATTAAGAGGCGATATTTGACCGGCATATCATCAAAATGTCCGGTAAACTAAACCTCTGCCGGTCACTTTGACCGGCGCCATTTTTTTCTAGCGGAAACTCTGACACACTGGCTAACGCTACCTTTACACACAGTGGCTAACACTACCTTACACACACTGGCTAACGCTACCTTACACACACTGGCTAACGCTACCTTTACACACACTGGCTAACGCTACCTTTACACACAGTGGCTATCACTACCTTACACACACTGGCTAACGCTACCTTACACACACTGGCTAACGCTACCTTTACACACAGTGGCTATCACTACCTTACACACACTGGCTAACGCTACCTTACACACACTGGCTAACGCTACCTTACACACACTGGCTAACTCTACCTTACACACAGTGGCTATCACTACCTTACACACACTGGCTAACACTACCTTTACACACAGTGGCTATCACTACCTTACACACACTGGCTAACACTACCTTACACACACTGGCTAACGCTACCTTACACACACTGGCTAACGCTACCTTTACACACACTGGCTAACGCTACCTTTACACACACTGGCTAACGCTACCTTACACACACTGGCTAACACTACCTTACACACAGTGGCTAACACTACCTTACACACACTGGCTAACGCTACCTTACACACACTGGCTAACGCTACCTTACACACACTGGCTAACGCTACCTTTACACACACTGGCTAACGCTACCTTTACACACACTGGCTAACACTACCTTACACACACTGGCTAACGCTACCTTTACACACACTGGCTAACACTACCTTACACACACTGGCTAACGCTACCTTACACACACTGGCTAACGCTACCTTACACACACTGGCTAACGCTACCTTTACACACACTGGCTAACACTACCTTACACACACTGGCTAACGCTACCTTACACACACTGGCTAACGCTACCTTACACACACTGGCTAACGCTACCTTTACACACACTGGCTAACACTACCTTACACACACTGGCTAACGCTACCTTACACACACTGGCTAACGCTACCTTACACACACTGGCTAACGCTACCTTACACACACTGGCTAACGCTACCTTTACACACACTGGCTAACACTACCTTACACACACTGGCTAACACTACCTTACACACACTGGCTAACGCTACCTTTACACACACTGGCTAACACTACCTTACACACACTGGCTAACGCTACCTTACACACACTGGCTAACGCTACCTTACACACACTGGCTAACGCTACCTTTACACACACTGGCTAACACTACCTTACACACACTGGCTAACGCTACCTTACACACACTGGCTAACGCTACCTTTACACACAGTGGCTAACGCTACTTACACACACTGGCTAACGTTGCCTTACACACACTCGCTAACACTACCTTACACACACTGGCTAACACTACCTTACACACACTGGCTAACGCTACCTTACACACACTGGCTAACGCTACCTTACACACACTGGCTAACACTACCTTACACACACTGGCTAACACTACCTTACACACACTCGCTAACACTACCTTACACACACTGGCTAACACTACCTTACACACACTGGCTAACACTACCTTACACACACTGGCTAACGCTACCTTACACACACTCGCTAACACTACCTTACACACACTGGCTAACACTACCTTACACACACTGGCTAACACTACCTTACACACACTGGCTAACACTACCTTACACACACTGGCTAACGCTACCTTACACACACTCGCTAACACTACCTTACACACACTGGCTAACACTACCTTACACACACTCGCTAACACTACCTTACACACACTGGCTAACACTACCTTACACACACTGGCTAACACTACCTTACACACACTGGCTAACGCTACCTTACACACACTGGCTAACGCTACCTTACACACACTGGCTAACGCTACCTTACACACACTGGCTAACGCTACCTTACACACACTGGCTAACGCTACCTTACACATAGGGGTGCACGATATATCGAATCAATATCATTATCGCGATAGTACAAAAACTACATTGGTTGCCAGTGCCATACAGGATAAATTTTATTTTGTTTTAAAGCATTACACGATCTTGCCCCTACTTATATAGCGGATCTTATCCAGGTACATAAACCAAAAAGAACATTGAGGTCAGAATCAACGAATCTCCTGGTGGTACCGCGTACATTCAGGAAACTGAGAGGAGACCGTGCTTTTACAGCAGCTGCCCCCAGGATGTGGAATTGTTTACCCCAATATATCAGGGAATGTCCCTCCATCACTGATTTTAAAGGTCACTTAAAAACGTACTTTTTTGCTTTAGCGTTCGACTGTCCATGAGTACGTGTTGATGTAATAGGTCGATGTGTACGTATTGGTGAAATTGATTTTTATTGAGAGGTTGTGATGTCCATAGAAAGGCGTAGAATTTAACTGTGATTCACTGATTTTTTACTTCCTTTTATTTTTTTATCTTCTGTACAGCATGTTATGTGCAGTTTACTTTATTTTATCGTATGTACAGCACTTTGGTCAACTCCTGTTGTATTATAATGTGCTTTATAAATAAATTTGAACCTTGAACCTTGAACCTTGGTGTTCAGTGAGAGCGCTCGTCAGTCGATACTTTTTTATTTTAATTTATCATCGTCATGGTAAATTATTGTGTTTGTGGAGGTTGCATAAACTCCGGCCTGTCAGGACTTCAAGGTCGAGTCCACAAGTTTCCATTACAAGAAAAGGGACAGTGCTACAGCCTATATCTTTCGTTCCTGGTGCGGTTTGTGTAGGTGAAGAGACGGGATTTCTCTTCCACGTCGGCTTCGGAAAACGCGGTCGTGTGTAGCGTTCACTTCAGATCAAATGATTAGCATCCCGGCGATCAACATCCGTTACAGAAGCAAGACTATTGATCGTCGTATACTATACCAATGGCATCAAATAATGTGATATATAGGTAACTTAGTCTTGTCATGCCCTAAAGGCAACTTGTAATTGAAAAACAAAATGGGTTGTTTAAATACTCAAATCTTTAATGTTCTGTTTATGTTATAACCCAGGTGAAAAATATGTATTAAAATTTTACCTGAGTGCTTTTAGTACAATAGAAATACACTCTAGTAAAGTTTTTATACATTTAATAGTATATAAATCTACCCTAAACATATTAATGTCTGCTGGCCTGTTAGGATCATAATAATCTGTCCAATATTGTGAGCACAGTGTATATCGTTAGCGAGCGTGTACTATAAGCACGTCTCTCACCTAAAGGCACCTGTCCTGATCTCCACTGGTTCTCCTCACATCACAGCTCAATTTGTCTCTGACATTATCCTGGCCTGTCCCTGATCTCGTTAGCATAGCAGGCTCATAACTTTATGGCTTGATCCGTCATACGAGTATTTCCTCAGCGTCCGAAATGTCATGCGATTCATTGTTTTCCTGTTGTGTGAATCGACGGCTCTCCCGCTCATTGCGTCACGCCCGCCACGCCCATTTTCAGACGCGGAAGTAAAAATTTCTCACAAAAACGACTGCAGAAGCTTCTATAGCGTGTTTATACGTATATTTTAAAGAAAATCTAGTTCCTACATTGTTTTTCTATGCATTGACTCGTTGGGTCCTCTAACCTGCAATATGCCCTTTAAGCAATCATGGCAACTGTTATTATAATCATCATTTTTTTACTGATGAATTCTGTGTGACGCATCACTATCATACACCTCCAGACCAGCACACACACACACACCGCTGTGATTATTACAAACACTGCATCATTAAAGCTGCATTTCACAGCATCCCTGCGTTCAGAAAAGTCAATTCAAGACCAGAGTGGGCAATGAACTCACTGTGCTCTCTCTCTCTCTCTCTCTCTCTCTCACACACACACACACACACACACACAAGGCTACTCTCACTCACTCTCTCACACACTGCTACTCTCACACAACGCACACACTGGTGCTCACACAGGCGTCAGTGAGCAGAACAATCATGCACTTGTGTGTGTTTGTGTGTGTGTGTGTGTGTGTGTGTGTGTGTGTAGCAGCTGAACACATCACACACATGAATCTGTCAGTGAATACACAATAATCACAGATGACAGCCAGAGAACACACACACACACACTGCGGATACACTGATGTTCATGTACAGGAACAGCTGGTGTGATACAGTGAACACACACACACACACACACACTGAAGGGTCACTACATCATAAACATTAAAACATCACTGCATTAATCACTCTAATGATGATCCGAGGGGATAAGAGTTTAGTAAGATCGACCAATCAGAAGCAGTCTGTGACTAAACATATTTGTGATCCTCAAATCTGATTGGCTGCACTGTTTGTTTTACTGACTTATTGAACTGTTGTACAAAAGCAATATGACACTCATAATCACAAACATCAGTCATGTGATCCTCTAAGGCCCAATCACAGTTGTGATGATGATACTGGACCAGTCACATGTATAACCAGCCTGAATTCATCCTATATATATATGTATTTGTGTGTGTGTGTGTGTGTGTGTGTGTGTGTGTGTGTGTGTGTGTGTGTGTGTGTGTAAAGCACTGTATTAGACTACTGTAAGGTTGATCAGCTGATGGTAAAGGGTTTATGAAGTATTTCCATCTGTTTGTACTCACATCTGAAGCATGATGTCGTTCAGATAAACCCCGTCCACTAAAGTCATGAACTCCGACAGATGAGAGCCATCCGACTGGAGCCGAGAGACAGTCTTCACCTGCAAACACACACACACATGAACGCGCAGGCAGCACACACACACACATGAATGATCTGATGAAGCGCGCGCTCACCCAGCACACCAGAGGAGACTGCAGAAAATCCTCCAACAAAGCCGTGAAAACCTCCTCCATCGTGTCCGTGAGGGATAAAGCGGGAGAGCTCTGAGAGGAGTGTGCTTATAACGCGCTCATTCTGTCGACATTCATCGCGTATTATTCCTCCAGATCCCACAGCAGGAGTGCGGGAGAATATTGCAGTTCCGAGCCCGATCCCCGAGCCCGAATCCCGGCTCTCTGAGAGGAAACCCTGCGCGGACCCTCCTCAGACCAGCGGCGCGAACTCTCCCTTCATCCCGAGAGAAAAGCCGTTGTTTTCCGTTAGATTCGCCGTGACGTGTCGAGCTTCCAGCGGGAACTGTGCGGGGAGCGTCGAGCGCGTGTGTGTGTGTGACTGAAACAAAGCGCCGCCTGTACTACAGCAAACACACTACCGAGGGCACTGATTTACGGCACACTTCCGCCACACACACCGGGGGTCACCAGATGGGTTTAGTTTGACTGTGTTCCTCTACTGTAAATTCAATATAAAGAAAGAATAATAAATTATATAAAATGAATGTGAATGACACGCCCGCAACGAACAGGCTGCACTAATAAACAGCGACTGTAACGGATAAACTCGAGTATGTGAAATGACCTGTCCAGTTATCAGACATAAACACCGCAGTTTTATTTCATTCATAGGTACTGCATAACGGGTAGAGTATGATACACCCTGCGTACAAGGAGTATGCCATTGCGAACACGCCCACTGTGCGCCTGATGCTCCCTTACTAGGCGACATCCGGAGGGAGGAAGCACAGTCTGGAAACACTGACTGAGTTTGAGACACACACACACACACACACTTGAAATAATGAACCGTTATAAACCGACATGGAGAAAATAACGAAGCAGCGCGCTTAACACTCAGGAGCCTATAATATAATAAAACAAAATAGATTAACTGGCAATATGTGGACAGAAATTATATGAATCTCTTATTTGTCAAATGAATCATTAGTGACATCTCGTGGCTTCAAGCAAAAAACTGGTTTGCGGCCATTCCCGCCACATAAGAAAAATGCTTTTGTAAATCATACATTCTAAAGTCAAAATTGTGTCGTAAGTTGAAATTATGACAGAAACTGTTAGAAATGTAGAAATGACTTACAAAAAGTTTAGCCTTAGGCTACGGACCCTTTTCACAGACCGTGATGACGCGTTTTAACGGAGGTCACATCGTAAATGGTGCAAAGTTATATATAGGCTATGTACATTTATAACACTTTAGCTGCTTACAATTATATTACCATTGGCTTTGAATAAAATTACAAAAACAAGTAAACGCTGTGTGGCGTAAGTTGACATCCCTCTTCTGACAATCTCGATTTTATTCTCTTATCGAAAGTCGGAACTCAAGAAAACACTATTTTAGAGTTTCTGGTATTTGAGCAAGTGGGAACACAAAAAAGAAGCTCCGTTTGACCGCTTCTGAGAAACCCGGAAACGTGAAAAGGGTCATTATGTCGTGACTAACTCGTGAATGAGTGATAGATTAACAAACACAAACTGGTGTTAAGGAGAAACTATAAATGCAAACCTTCTTCTACAGAGGTTAAACGGGTTAAACCTAACCGCAGGTTAGTCGCATCTCACACATTTTTCACAGTGTTCTGAGCAAGTTATTAAAATATTAACACTGTGATAGAGATTTTTGATTACTCATTTTAAGATGTATCAATAGAAAAAAACTAAAATCATAAAAAGTTAATGAGGCGTTAATCGTCCACAGCCACATTGACAGTGTATCCAAGTGCAGTGTAATGAACAATGATTCTCATGTAAACAGTGTCATACAGTAGTGCCTGTGGTGTCCGTGTGGTTTCAGCACACTGGGAGTGTGTTTACGGACGGACAGATGGCTCAGGGCAATCCCCACCTGTCCCTCTCCAGGTGCAGGTCCTGCTGATGCGGTGATGTGTGTGTGCAGACAGCTGTGTGTGTGTGTGTGAGCCGCTCTCATTCGCCACTACAGCAACAGCCTGATCCTGCAACACTAGAACAATTTACTGATTTTATTATTTAAATTAATTGACAATTGAGGTCAAGCCCCACCCATTACATGTAGAGAGAGGAACATTACATGAACAGGGAGGAGGAGCTAGACGTTGTCTTTGGCTTGCACAGTTGGGGATATTTAAATTAATTAACCAATCAGTAATACCAAAGTCCTTTTAGGCAAGACCTGCCACTCGGCCGCCATCTTGGCAACGCCTCCGGGCAGCTCTTCACTGGTCACCGGGACATAAAATCTGCTTGTATAGAAACAGTACTAAAATATGATACAAATCACTGAAAAAGTTTGATGACTTTTCCCCAAAATAAGGTTTAAAAAGGTCTTTTCTCCACAGGCATGCGCACAGGTTCTCGTCTCCGCTGTCGCAGACCTCAACTGTGCCATGTGTCGGTGGACCCAGACTTACGTGTTTTCCGGCTTGACTGTTTCAGACGATTGGCTGTCCAGCGGGAGGGGCGGGGCATGTGCATACAACCGCCATCTTTGGTGTTACGGGTTTTCCCTATATAGTTGTATTGAGGATTGAGGAAGGGGCGTGTCTCTATATGAATAGTCTCTGATAATCCCCTTGATCAGCTCTACCAAACATGCATGTTTTCCACTGAGAAACAAACATTGTTATTATGTTTTGATTGGTATTTACAGTCAACGGTTCAGAATCAGAACTAGACATTGCAATCAATAATTCTTTTTTGTCTAATTTAATTAGTTTAACATAACGCCAGCCTCTGGTGTTGATTGGCTGAGCAGCGGCTCTTAGCCCCGCCCTCAAACACTAGTGTATCTGAGACTGGGAGAGGTGGTGAAACCCTCGCCATCGTCACTGTTCGCATCACTGTGATCAAGAGCTGAGATTCAGACATGATAATAAGCGTTTGCTTTCTGACCAATCAGAGCAGAGCAGCTCTCAGAGAGGCGGGGCTTAGAGAGACTGAATCAAGGCGTTTCAGACACTGAGAGGAAAGAGCTGAAGCTGCAGTGGAGATCAGGAGGACATTAGGGTGTGTGTTTTACCTTGGATGAGTGTGAACCTGCTGTAGGAGAAGCCAAAACCACACTAGGATCCGTTAACATCCCATAATCGGGCAGTTTACCGTCTTCGGTTGAGGACCTTCACCCTGCTGTGCTAGTGCAGATGCTGGAGCTCACGTGTAGAGTAGATAACCCAACTCAGGTAATGATCCCTGAACACAACCCTGTCTGGGACTACATACGGGCGTCATAAACCACCCACAACTGACCACAGTGACCCACTTCAGCCAACATCAGCAGAAACAGTGAACAAGACAACATACTAGAGCACACAATCTGCCCGTCACTGGAGAGATACAAACACCTCGCTTCAGAGCATACACACTAAATCTTGCTCTAAACCGGCAGCCTCACATGGTCACATGACCACGACAACACGGCAGGTTTTCCTCACACCGAACAGAACACGCTCTGTGAATAAATAAATAAATAGGTGTGTCTCAAATGTTTTGTTGTTCTATCCATTCGACGAAAGGCTCATTCAAACACAAAACACAATAATGAACAACCTTGTTTAATTGCAGGACCAAATTTAATCTGAAAATTGTAAAAAATATCAAATTTATACAAATGCTCTTTAATGGAGGTGGTGCTAGTTAGGAAATTGTACAAAAAAGAGGGGAAAACAAGAAGAGCTAGTGATCCGCGAGTGTTGTGTGGACAGAGCTGATCTGAGATCAGGTCCATCTCTCCGACGCGCGGCCGCACCGACACTGGCGAGAGCTCCTGTCAATCATTAATAAACACTAACGTCCAGAGGAACTCGTTAAAAAACCTCTTCAGTCCCAGAGGTCAGCCAATCCAGCGTTCATTAGCGCGGCTAGTCCTGCTAGCCTCCCATCAGCCCCTGCTGCTGTCATTGGCTGCTGCGCTCCTCGCTCAGCCCGACACACACACACACACACTGCTTTATGAGCCCAGGCGGGGCCGCTTGCGTGGAGCCTGCTCTTCCTCCTCCTCCTCCTCTTCTTCATCATCTTCATCATCTGGATAATCCACAAGTCCAGTCTGAGGAACACACACACGATTAGCGTGAGACGCACACCAGTGCCCCCTAGAGGTGAGGATGTGCTTCCTGTTCCTGCTGCTTTACACACATCTTCCCCTCCCCCACCTAAAGCCGAAAACCACACTACTTTCCCAGAAACCCCATTTTGATATTTTTTAAATTTTATTGGAAATTGTTTATTTTTTATTTTATTTAAATTACTAGATAGAATAAATAGATAGTAATTTACGCGCATTCAACTTAAATTCAAATAACTCTCAACTTCCTGCACAACCCTTTTACTTCAGCTCTGAATATCTGACACTAAGTCTCTGACCTCTTGTGGACTCAGGGCCGCGCAGTATATCCAGTTCGTATGATATATTTTACGTAAAACATGTTTCTATCGCCACAGGAGTTTGATACGAGCACATCTGTGAACAGCGGCGGTCGCAGTGTGTGCTAATGCAGTAGCGAGGCTACATCGCACAAGCGGTCCTAAACATGACACGCTTATATCGAGGGCTTCAGAGCACCAGCAGCGTCGGGCGGGTGACGATGCTGACGGGCAGATTAGCGCTTACGCTGTTGGATGTGTTAGCGGTGTGGAGCTTTCCTCAATTTACACTTCACAGGCGTATCCTCCACATCATGAACATGTCCGTGTCACTGTCAGGAGGACGAGCTTCTGCAAGCCAGTCTCCGCTGAACAGACGAGCACACCAGATAGTAATTCTGAATAAAATAAACTTATTGCTAAATTATTTGTTGTTGGAGACAATAAACATGTCATATGTGGATACAAGTATACATTTCTGAAAGTGACCATTATAGTGGGGTAATCACAGGCAGGCTAATAGAATTAGTTTATGCTTTTTTATTTTCATTTTTAGATTAGCCTTTAATCAATTTAAAAACAAAAGCTTTTTGCACATAATATATTGCGCTCACTATATTTGGTTCCATATCCTTCAATATCAACAATGTTTGTAGGATTTCATCGGGCAGAATGTGAAATAACATTTTTTTTTTAAATAAATACAGATTGTCTTTATTCAAATAGGAAACCGTAGAAAGCACCGAGATATATCGTACATCGCCATTTAACCCTAACATACTGCGATGGGATATTTTTGGCCGTATCGAAAAAAAAAAGTATAATAACTCAAGATGGGCTTATATCTCTATATGCAGATGAGCTGTTCGGCTGGGTGCTGAAGGCAGATACACATGTAGATTTTGGTAAAGTTTCAGCATTTTTATTTTGAACTGAGTATATTTAGGGTTGTCTGTGTACTGAAGCACTCCACTCACTCCTGAGGGGGTCAGATTGAGCCGAACGATTTGCTACTTTTTTTATTTTAACCACAAACTTTATGATTTAACCACTATAACTTTTGTGTGTGTATTCGTGGTTCAAGTGCGACAGGGTCCTGGGTCAAAATGCCCCGAGGGAAGGATGAGGGTTAAATCAAGATACATTCACTGGAGAAGCAAAACGGCTGAAGAAGATATTAAGACTTGCTGAAGCGAGTTTGTGCAGAAACGTCTGCCGACGGAGTCAGAAAACACATCCTAATTAAGAGGGATGATCCTTCTGAGGCCACTGACAGATGTAGAGAGTGTCTCTTGCTGTAAGAGTGTGTGTGTGTGTGTGTACGCACCCGTGGCGTGTGTCCAGCAGGAGGCGCTGCCGGCCTGGAGCCGCTGGAGGAGGAGGAGGGCGGAGGCTTGGAGCCGTTGCTAGTGTTAGCGTTAGCCGCTGAATGAGCGAAGGTGAACTTAAAGCTGGCTGTGGTGGAGCGCTTCGGCTGGTTCTCTTTGTCCTGACTCTCTTTAGCTGAAACCAGAGCAACACGCGTAACGTTTGTGTTTTCATGCGTACCCAGAGCCGTAAACACTGATTCTGAACGCAGGAATACCTTTCTCGCTCTCCATGAACTTGCCGTAGTCGCTCTTGCTCTTGTTGATGTCGGACACGTCCTCCTCTTCCTCCTCCTCGTTCAGCCACGTGTCCTCGTCCTCCTCGAAGGAGTGCGCGTCTCTACGGTACCTGTGAGAAGAGCATGCTGTGTTAGTGTGTGTGTGTGTGTGTGTGTACAGTACACTCAGTGTGGCGTCGCTCAGCCCGACTGAGGAAGGGTCTAGAAAAGGTGGCCTAAACATTTCCCAGTCAACCATAGAGGCGGACAGGACACCAGCTGATGGGGTTACTCCACCCCTGCGGGCGAGAGGAGGAAAATAAACAACACAGTATCAAACTGGCAGCCGGACTCGACCTCTGACCGGAGACAGGCCGGATCTCTGATCACACGATCCTCACAGCAACATCAGGACATGTTTATAGCCTCTGCCGAGTCCGAGATGCCCACCACATCACTTCCTGCTGGAGATGAGCCGTTGTCCACAGTGCCAGCATCGAGAACGACACCGAGAGCCGAGAGAAACCGGCATCAGCTGAATTTGGGAGACTTCGGGGTCGTCTTCATCCCTCCGCAGCTCGCCGTATACCAAACCACCCTCCTCTACAGCTGTGAATCATGGGTAACCTACAGCAGACTGTTATGTGTGAGTGTTATAATCTGGATGTCACTGCATTTTCCCTAGTAGATCACCTGCAATCAACTGGCTAATTGGTGTCACCTGACAGCAGCTACTTAAATCTAGGACGCATGCTCTTGCTGCTGCAGTGTTTTGTTCCTACAGTCCCTTTTTCTTTCTTTTTATATTAAAATAAACTTTATTTTTACTTTGTGTCCTTTATGTTGCATCCCTAGAGCCAGGGTTGTAACAAGACACATCAAGGCCTCACATCACTGCCACATACACTGCCTTCTGGGAATCCCCTGGCATGATCATGTGCCTCACACTGAAACACTGAAGCCCAACCGCAGGCCACGATCCCCCAGCAGGCACTGCGGTGTGGGACACGAGCTACTGTAGAGAACATGTGCTGTGCGGCCGACGCTCGCAGCAGCGCTGTACGGACCCGATGAAGAGCGCCTTGAGGAAGAGGAAGATCAGACCTGAGGATCATCTGGCGGCAGCTGTAGAGATGAGGAGCCGTACACACACACACACACACACGTCCTCCAGCATAGAGCCAGGATAGACTGATCATCTAACATCTCACCGCTAAACGCTTGGACGTCATCAACGGATATCGATGAGCAGCCGCAGAGAAGAAGAGAGAGTGTGTGTGTGTGTGTGTGTGTGTGTGTGGTGTCGCTCACACACCTGCTCAGGCCTCGGCTCTGCCGCTCCTTCTCCTGCTCGTATCGGCCCTTCAGGCCCTTGAAGGTCTGCACGTACTCGATGGACTCCAGCGCCGGGTAGAAGTGGTCCACGATGTGTGCGATGAGGGACCGGATGTCCTCCTGCGGATCAAACACACACAGCGGTCAGACGCCGACCTCTACTAGCGGCGGGTGTCCCGAACCGGAGAATCGATAAGAAACTCAGATTTCAGTTCCGCGTGTCGACTGCGATTGCTGTGATGTGATAGGGCGCTAACACTGTGTCTTACAGCAGGCTCTCGCCTCTATGACACTAATCAAAACACTCACTCGCTCCTGACTGAACCACCTCTGTGACTATATTTATAATATAGTATTAAATCATATTTTAAAAGTGCAGTGTTATTTTACATTTGATTACAGTTTCTGAACCTGAAAATCTTAAAACACTGTTTGTTCCAATCTATCTTTGTTCAGTTGTGCGACTAATAATTTATGACACTCCTGCAAGTGTTCTTCAGCTCATGATGCAGGTTTAGCAATAACACTAAACGTGAACGATATCTGAGGTTAATTTTTGCCAAACTGGAATTGAAATTAGGAATCGATGAGCAGAACTTTAAAACTCAAACGATACCCAACGCTACGCTAGTGTCAGCCGTCGGTGACGGACGAGTGTTAGCATCCCCTACTCACGACTCTGATGAACTCGAAGAGCTCCACGACGGCCGAGTTCAGCAGGTTATAGCGGCTGCCGTTGTCCAGCAGGGCGTTGATGACCGGCTCAAACAGGTTCCCCTTCATGATGTAGCGGTTGTAGTACTCGTCCTTCAGGCCGATGATCCGCCTCAGGAAGCGCAGGGCACCTGCTCCACACACACACACACACACTCAGTCAGCCTCACTGCAGTTACTGATCCCATCTGCATTTCATTGAACAAACATCTGCTAATAAACTTCTCACACTGAGAGATGAAGAAAATATAAATATAGGCTAACATATACATAATGAGCAATAACAAAAAATAACCTACATGAGTGTGTGTGTGTGTGTGTGTGTGTGAGATATGAGCACTGTAGCTGCACTGGACTGAATATTAAACAGATGGACATGGAGATATGCAGAACTGGTGCAGTGTTCAGTGTGTGATCATGAGATGCTCCAGTTCTCAGTGTTTCTGAACTCCTGAAACACCTCCACTGTATCTCCAGTTTCTCCCGGGAACACGTCTCAATATTCCTCATTATAATAACTCATGCGCAGAATAAAGGGGCGGGGCCTGGTTGACTTAGTCAGTATTGTGTTAAACTGGCAGTTATGGAAAGGGGCGGGGCATTTCCCAAACACAATCAAAAGAGCTCGACCAATCACAACACACTGCTCCAGCCGACCAATCAGAGCACAGTGTGCTTTTCAGGAGGAGGGGCTTCATAGAGACAGGAAGTGAACAGAGCGTTACTGACAGACTGGGAAGAGAGGAGCCGCAGCAATGGAGAATATGAGGAGAATAATCAACAAGTTCTAGGAGAGCCTGAAACACATGAGGACTAGAGCAGGTCAGGTCCTCCTCACACACTCGTGTAGAGCGGCTGCTGCGTTTCGGGCACGAGCGATGACCAGCATGATGATGCGAGCGATACTCACACAGCGCCAGGAAGGTGTGTTTGGAGTTCATGAGCGTCAGCACTCTCCGCAGCAGGTCTTTTGGTCATGATGTAGTTCTTGATGTGGTACGTGTGGTGCTCCACGCAGAAGGTCAGCAGCTCCAGGATCAGAGCCAGCAGCTGCGCCGTCTGGAAGTTATCTGACACACACACACACACATCAGTACAGCACACGCGTGTGGAGGGACGTGAGTGATGTGTAATGCGTGTGGCATAACGTTGGGCTTGACGCATGTGACGTGCCTGTGGCGTGACACGTGTGACGGACTGACGCATGACGTGATGTGTGTGTGTGTGTGTGTGGGAGTGTCGTGAGCCTGGCGAGGTGAGTGGCGTGTGTGGTATGAAAGTGGTGTGTGGCGTGATGTGTACCTGGACACACGGGGTTGACTTTCGCTGATCCCTCGGTCAGATCTGTGGAGACACACACACACACACACGTGTCAGTGAGAGGAGGGGCGCGGCTCAGCTGCTGCAGGTCAGAGGTCAGTGTCTCACCGTGGTCCTCTTCAGCGGTGTTGGCCAGCAGAGGAGCCGTCAGCACATGCATGCAGTACTTGTAGAAGAAGCTCAGGAACTCACTCTTCTCCGCTTTCTGCACACACACACACACACACACATTAGCGTAGGTCTGGGCGATATATCGCACGATATTGTCATGCGCATCTAATCAGTAAAACCGGTTCCCTTGATTAGCAGTAAATCTCCTTCAGA